TCTTATCTTTTCAGCACTGTGACTCTGCAAAATTCTGCTCTGCTTTACAGAGGTCTGGGCTTAGCTTCTAAGGTTCTCATCTTGTAAAACTTCAGACTTCAGTAAATGGCATGAAAACTGAACTTATATTTGAGGCTTCTCAAACCTTCAATTTCGTCACTCCAGCCTAAGAGACTATAAAAACCTCTGCTAATTTCTCGTCTCACTATAAAAAACCTTCTGCCTGGGGAAAGCCTGGATCCTTAGCCTCCTGCCAGTCAGCAAATGCAAGTGGCTGAAAATCCCCACGGTTCTCCCCTCTCCACAACCTTAACCCTTTCAATAGCTGTTGTAACTCTCTTAAACTTGAAATATCACCTGTTTATTTTCACTGGGAACATTATTTGGCTGCCAACTACTCCATCCTATCCAGAAGTGAGAGTTCTACATTTTCCTTTTTGGGGGCTGTGGAGTATTGCATCATATGAGTGTCTCGTTTAAAAATTTAACCTCTCTTCTAATCATATTTATGTTCTCTTTATTATAATGAGTACTGCAATAATCATCCTTATAGGTATACCGATATACATGAGTTAGGTTATTTTCATAAGATAAATTTATGGAAATAAAATGGCCAGATCACAGAATATGATGATTTGCAATTTTGACAGGTATTGGCAAACAGCCCTCTAGTAAGACCGTGTACTCGGCTGAGCTGACAGTGTCTAATAAATGACCATTGAGTTGTTTCAAGTGGGTCACTATCTTCTCTGCCTTTTCAGGTGCCTCAAAGGTCTCCCAGCCCTCTCTGTTCCAGCCTCAGTCTTCTGTGGTGAGTGGGCAAGGCAATCCACAGATCTGGTGTGTGGTGCAGGGCAGCCCTGCCAGCGCTCACGTCTTGTCTTGGTACCAGCAGCTGAGGGGGAGTGGCCCCACCTTCCTGCTGAGTCAGCGAGAAGGGATGCCCCCAACCTATGGTTTGGGTGTGAATCCTCGCTTCCTCGTAGAGATGGACCCAGCCAAGAATGCCGCCCTCCTTACCGTGGGCAATGCCAGCCCTGCTGATGAGGGCATCTACTACTGTGCCCTGTGGTTTTCAGGCCAGTATGTCTTTGGAGAAGGTACCCGTCTGCTCTATCAAGGTGAGTGAGTCTAAGAGTGTAGGGATCTGGTGGCCCTAGTGTGTTAAGACTGTAATGGCGGGGGTGGCAGTGAGCAGAAAGGTATAGATGGTGGAGCCCCCTTGGAGGAAGCCTTGCTCAGTAGGGATGAGGGCAAGAGAAGGAAGGCCCAGAAGACTAGACGGCCAGCAGAGAAAAGGCTCAAGCTTCTGGATGGTGGATTCGACTGGGAGTATCTAAGGATGGACATAGACACCTTAGGCCCAGACTTTTAGGCCTGGGGAGGGGAAGCCTAATCAAGAACATTACATCCATTCCCTTCCCTTGCTCTGTAGGAAGGATACTGGAGGCCCAGAGGATTAAAAGTACGTGGCAGAGACAAACTCAGAGCTCATATTCTGGCCAGAAGGCTAGCTGTGGGGGGAAATAGATTCCAAGAAAGGCAAGGGAAGGCCATAGGGGAAGGGGAGAAGTGTCTCCAGAAGGAAGGAGATGCAATAGGACTATGAGTTTGGAAGAGGCTGGTGGTATTGGGTAACATCCTTCTTCCCTTCATTCCCCGCAGCTAAGATGCAATCCCCGGCTTTCCAGCCACCTGAGCTGAGCCTGTTTGTCCCAGACTCTGGCCCTCCCTTCCATGTACTTTGTGTGGCCCTAGGACACAACCCTGACCCTCTGAGGGTCTCCTGGGTCCTGAAAGGCCAGTATCAGGAGGAAGAGGACTCCACTGGAGGAGCCGGGGAGCCCGTGGTCAGCTGGCTGCAGCTGCCTCGGGAGGTGGCAGGAATGTCTGTGACTTGCCGAGGCTTGCACCAGACTGGAGTCTCAGAAGTCGTGCTGCCCCTCCCCTGCGGCCAAGGTGAGAAAAGAGGACCTAGGGGTGTGCTCCAGGCTTCCTGATGCAACCACCTGGAACACTGCAAGGCAGTGTTCCCCCCTGGGAAAGTGCCAGTTTCCCCCCTGGCAAACTGCAAGGCACTGCTGTGTGTGGCAAAGAAGCCTTGACTCTGCCCCAGCTTCTGGGTGAAGCCTGGACTTGGCTTTGGAGCCTATGCAATGACATTGTGGGACCAGCTTTCCCCAAAGCCCTAATATCCACTCTGTCACTCCTGGCTTCTGTGTTCTCTAGTGGCGAATGCCTCTTTATTTCCTTTGGGGGATAGAGCAGAGGGAAGCTATCTGAAGGGCATCTGCTCTGTTCCAGGGTGCAGGAGAAGGCTGGAACTGGAGAATAGGAATGAGACTCATGACAAGATTGGACACACTCGTCTAGGTAAGGACCCCCAGACACTGAGCTGGGACCTGGACCCCCTAGGTAGCAAAGCCATGACTTTTCACCATCAACCACCCATTTGACAAGCATTTAGGAGTACTACGTATTTCTCAGGGCAGAGAGATGACTGCAACAGTGTGAACATTAGTGAGTCTAGAAGGCTAGGTCAGACACTGAACCAATGTTTAAAATGCAAGGAGAACTGCCCTAAGGGTTTTAGGGCAGGAACACAGGATATTCAGGAGCTCAGAGAGCTGGGGGGGGGGGGGGGGGGGCTCCTGCAGGAGGGCCTGGGAAGCTCCCGTGGACAAAGCAGAGTCAGAGCTGAGCCCTCAGATTCTGGCTGGAAAGGGTGTAGACCCAGTCAAGAGCACCTGGGTCTAGTCCTGGTTCTGCCCTCAACTCTCTGTGGCCCCTTGGGGGAGTCTTTTACCTTCTCTCAGCCTCAGATCCACCCACCCATCTACCACTCCCAGTCCAAACTGTCTTTGCCCTTACAGATCTTAAGTCTAACTTTTTCATCTGTAAAAATGGGGAGTAATAGAACCTCCTGGAGGATCAAGTGAGCCAGAGAGGGCTCTTCAGGAGGCAGTGTCAGAGGGCCGGGCGGGGCCGACTCATGCTGTGCCTGTCTCCCTCCTAAGCGGAGCTGGAACAGACCCTCACCGCCGCCGCCTGCTGCTACCTGGGCCTGCTTGCTGCAGCTCTGGCCTATGGCTTCATCGTGGCTGCCCTCCAGAGGGATCGCTGCTGTAGGGCCCACCCTATGGAGCCACTCACCCGACAGGGTCAAAGAGCAGCCCTTGGTTCCAGGGTGCAGGTGGGCAAAAGGTGCCCCCCTGCCAGGGCCCTGGAGTGCAAGGGGCTAAGCCCCAGCGGATTCCACGTCCTCCGAGGGGCTGCCCGTGCACCGGACCCTCCCTCCTTGTTCCAGCCAGCTTCCTCCTAGTCTGCTGCCTTTTGTTACCCCGTGGGGCCCCCTTTTTCTCCCAGACTGTTCAAATTTCTCCACAAATACAGGGAATTTGAGAAGATACTGCTGTGCTGTTGGTTGTTCTGGGCAAGGGAGGTGGGATCCCAGGACCAAGGCCAACAGCTCCCAGGGGGAGCCTGTCCAGGGTCAGCAGACTCTGGAGACAGGTGAGCCACCCCAGCCTGGAGCCTGATGGTCAAACAGGTCCTGAAGCCAATCTGGCTAGTCAGAGGGAAACACATATGGCAGAAGCAGACAATCATGTTTTGCTGCTCATGAACTGAGAAAGCCAGGTCACACCCACCCTCTCTCACTTCTTCATCTAGTTGAGAGTTGGGTATCTAAGGTCCTCCCCTTTTTGATTAAAATCCTTTTCTTCTTACCCCACCCCCCCTTTAAAGATTTTATTTATTTATTTGAGAGAGACGGAGAAGCAGGCTCCCTGCTAAGCAGAGAGACCAATATGGGACTCAATCCCAGGACTCCGGGATCATGACCTGAGCCAAAGGCAGATGCTTAACAGACTGAGCCACCCAGGCGCCCCTCTTACCCCCTGTTGAGAACAAATGCAAATACCTCTGAGGATTGAAGTTGGTCAAGGATCTTTTACTAGAGAGGCACACAGAATTTTACGGTGGGGGGGGGAGTCATTCAGAGACTGCTAAGGCAGCATGGTCCCCAAGACTGCTGTAGTGTCTCCAGGAGGAGCCAAGTGCAGCGGGGCAAGGTAACCCACCTCTCCTTTGTGGGGATACCAGTGACGAGGAGCCTGAGCCCGGAACCTCATCTCCCATGCTTACACCGCAGGGGGGCAGCCTCTCGAGGACTCTCTAGAGCATCTGGCCCCACACTCCTCCCATTCAGGGTGATGGCTGCCCAGGGCTCCCTGTAGTGTTTGTAGTTGGGGCTCAAAGGCCCTCAAGCCGTCTTCCTCCTTTCTTCTACACTTCACCTTCTCCCAGCCTCTGCGCTACACTGATGTGGCACCTGCCGAAAATGGATCTGAGGAGTTCTGAGAAGAAACCCTTGTCCTAGGACCCCTTAGTCCTCTCTCACTGGGCGTCCCAGCACTTGAATCCCGGTACGCACATGTCTACTGCGAGAAATTCTTGCTATCGTGCCAACTCCTTAGTGTGGACTTTGTCTAACAACCCGGCGCAAATTAGCTTTGCTGACAGTGGAGGAGGCGGAAGGCTCAGGGTGTCCCAGAGGTCACTGGCCCTGGGACTGGGCTGTTGGGGTGGGGAGGTGAGGGCTGACCAACAGGGACCTGGTGGGGCACAGAGAAGAAATACGGCCTAGTTCTGGCCCCAGTGGGAAGGTGGCCACTAGTCACTGGTGCCATCCACGTGTTGTATCTGTAAGGATAGGTCCCGGCTAGGAGCTCTCCCCAGGAAGGAGCCTTAGGCCGTGCCTTAAACATGTCCGTCAAGTGAATCATTCCCAACACCTCAGCCTGAAAGTCAGAACCCCTTGGATCTGACCTCTGGCTCTCCTCTAAAGGTCCTATGTCCTCCTCTGCTTGACCTCCCCAGCTGAGGAGACAAAGGACGCCAGTGAGTGCGGCGAGTCGGTGGCAAGTTCAGTCAGTGCACACAGCTCCACGGCGGCTCCTGGCAGAGCAGGCGGGGGTCCTCCCAGTCACCAGAGAAGATTTCACCAGTAAAAACCTGCAAACTCTTTATTAAATTCTCCCATTTCATCTGTACAGAAAAAAATGCACATTATGTTCAGGATCTCAGTAACATCTCAAAATTACACAGCATGAACATGTAAAAACAAGGAACTGCCGGGATTTTATACATAGAAAGAAAAATCATTTACAAAAGAGGCTTGTTAATTTCACTTTTTTTCTCTTTCTTAAAAAAAAAAAAAGTTCAAGGCCTAAGATCTCACACAGCACCTGCTGTTCAGTCTGTTTTCCTGCTTGGACTGACCTGGGCACGCTGAGCCAGGGGGAGCCGTCAGGAAGCCTATGGCCGGCTCGGCTCTGCCGCAGCCCCTCCAGCCTACGTGCTGCAGCCTGCCCCGGGGGCCTGCTCCTGCCTCCCTGGCTCGGGCATGGGCCTGCTGGGCTCTGGGGTCCAGGTGTCGATTCCATGATGGGGGGGAAGGCAAAAACAGAATATAGAGGCACTATCTGAACTTTCTCCTTGCCTAGGGAGGTTTCTGTACTGTCCGAATCCCAACATCCCTACTGGGGTGTGGTGACAGATCTTGGGAGGAGGCACGGAGAGGAAACCATCAGGATCCTGTCACCACCAGCCCAAGCAGATAGTCCCACCTTGTGGTCCGGATGACAAACAGTCCCTGGGTCTCCATAGTGACCTCCCTAGATGTTCGGGGAAGCTGGTCACTCTGAAGAGTCAGTCTGGGTTTGTATGACTTGTCTGTCGTCTGAGGCCAGGGCAGGAAGGGGGCTTCGCCTTCGAACTAGACTGACCTAACGTGTGACCCTGGTCCTAATGGAGAGGAGGACCAAGAGGAGAGTACTAGAGAGATGGCCGACCGAAAGCAGAGGAGAGAGGGAGACAGTAAGAAAGACAAAGGCAGGCCAGAACATCAGCTCTGGCCCCATGGCCCTTGGGAATCGGAGACCAGAGGAGAAGAGGTGAAGAGAGAGGAGTCCCTAAAGGCCCAGGAGAAACTCAAGGAACTGGATAAAGCGATGCAGGTGCCGCCCAAATCGCGAGAAATAAAAGGTATCTTTCAGGTTTCTCAAATTTGTAAGAATCTGAAATACAGATACTATATACCTAAATGCACACAATTCAAAAAGCCCTCTTCTTTTTGTTCTATGGCAAAATTTAGGTTGAATGTGTCAGGCTGGGTTGGCTGGCGTTGTGGCTCTCTGTATCTGTTCACTTAACATAAGCTATACTCGGAGTGTGGGTAGTTTTTGGTGGGGTAGGGGAAAAAGCAGGAAATGAGAGCCTTTTCTCAAAAGAATTTGAGACCAGCTACATGAAGCAATCCACCTCTCCCTGGATGACTCACTATAGTGGGGGTCTTTGGGATAGAAGCTGTACCACAGCCCGGAGGTGGGGAGGATGGGAGACATTTCCAGAAGTCATTCTCACACATGAGAGTGAATCTTCTCTTGGGAAAATAGAGGGAAGTCAGCACATAAGTTCCTTTCCACTTTGATGATATGTGAACGGATTAATACAGACCTCTTTACTATTGGATTCTTTTATTACATGACTTTGGGAAATGGGAGGAAGTGAAACCTGATCATTCTGTCACCTCTTCTGGGAAAGCAGACTCCCCCACCCCCCCCCCGCCCCCGCAGAGCTGCTCTCTGTCCCCCAGAAAAGAAAGTACAGGATACGAGACAGCGGAAGGCCCGGAAGGCCTGCAGGGAATTCAGGCCAATGCCTGCAGAGCACCAGAATCCCCTGGCTTCCAGGGACAGGCTGGCTCCGAACAAGCCGACCGGACCCACAGAACTGAGGGTTCTCCAGGGAATGCAGAAGAGGAAGGCTTTACTGCTGGAGTGAACCTGAGCCTCTGCTCTGCTCCCACCTCAGCACATCTTGCTAAGAGACTTTTCTTGGGACAGAAGCAAGAGCAGAGGAAGGTGAGGGATGCACCAGGGTAAAGGTCTCACTTCCAGAGCTACCCTTCTGTGAGAGAAACTCAGTTAGAGGGAACAGTCTTGTTCTTGACAGCCTGCCTGCATTTCTGATTTCCTGTACCGCATGGCCTCCAGCCCGGGAGAGTAACCTCCTGGTGCCTCTTGAGCATTGTGGAGCACACTGAGTATGACTCCCTGAGATACTGGAGGGAGCTGACAAGGCCAGATGAGTTCCCTGGCTACTGTAATTTTCAGCAAGTGCCTGAAGCCTTGACCTTGGAACCACCCACCCCCCTGCCCCCCAACCCCATCACTGGCTGCTTGTTATTGTCCATGGGCTAGACACCAGAAGAGATAAGGACAAGGTCCATCATCGGCTCCTCCACTAGGGCCATGGTTTCCTCTTCTTCATTAACTCTCAACTAGCTGATTTCACGACTGACCCATAAGGCTAGTAATCCATGAGGTCCAGAACCTGTGTTGTTCCACCAAATGAGGGACCAATGGATACAGTTGAGCTACAGGTTCAGATGGTGCTGGGCCCCCTGGAGGTAGAAAACTGCTCAGGACACTACCTGGGACTCTCAAGAACCGGTCACCTGAAACTACTCCACGCAGAATGATGAAATGCTTTCTAGCAACAAGCAACTGAAGATACTGGCAGAATTATCCCTTTTATTCTGACTATTTCTAAAGATGACAAATGTTTCAAGAATCAAACTCCTTTTCAAGCTTCCCGATTTGTTGCAGACAACTAAGACAAACCCAAAATGTCAAGACACATTAAACTATGGGATGTTTTACATACATTGGGAGGGAGAATGTACAGATGGAGAGCGGTATGCACACACTCACCAAATGATGAATGTTTATCCTATCCTGTAAACCATGCCAGACACGTTGGTGGGGGCCTGCGTTTAGATGACATCCCCAGTTCTCATTCCCAAGCTCCTGCAGCCCAGGTGGGAACCCCTGGAGGTGGACCATCTGGACCAGCCCAATTCAGTCCCACAATGGTGGTAGCAGGGGGCTGTTGCCCAGACTCCAAGAGTTTCAAGTTTTATGAGGCTAAAGAATCCCAGGACAGGTGCTGAGAATCAGGAAGACCCTAAGAGCAGGACTGAGGGGACCAAGCAGCTTAGCAGCTCCCCTTGGTGACTTGAAGTACCCTAGGCAGGGGGACAGAGCTGGTTTCTGGACCCCACTGCCTCCAGGAAGGGTAGCAACAAGAAAAAGAAGAAAACCACAGTATTCAAATATATGCCAGTCAGATTAGACAAGGAGTAATTTGAATCAACTGATCCACACACTGACCCACTTTGTATCGAACACATTTCAGGGGAGACAAATGTTGCGTAGGTCCTGCAGCCCATGTGGACGGTGGCAAAGGAGGGGCAGGGCAAGGAAGGGTGCCATGGTCTATGTGGACAGTTTTAGGCACGTGATTTATAATACTCTGTGGACGTCTAACAGGTTAATAAAATATATATTATATAAATATATCTCCTACTGTACATGCCACCCTCTTGTGCAGCCACTGTAACTCCATGCCCAAACTCAAACCAAGGTGTGCCAGGTTGGACCCTGATGCTTGCACCCCTCCCTTTTACACTCCAAACCTGTTATCCCACACTGGAAGGACGAGGGAGGACGGCCAGGAAGACTGCTTCCATAAAGCTCAGATTCTGGAAAGACTGATGAATCATCAAAGTACAACATTTAGCCAATGCCTACTACAGTGGGTGTATGCAGCAAATGGACAGAAAGGGGAACAAAACAAAACAAAACACGGAGAATAGGCTCCATCTTTTAACATAGTAACTTTCCAAGTCCTCTCCACAAAGAGGCATAAGGGAACTTGTCTGGGAAGGTGGCATCGAGCCTGCAGAAGGGTCACATTGGACGGCCAGTCACACCCTGAGACCACGCCTAAATCTTTATAAGCCACTGTCTCTGACCTGCATTGTTGCCTGAAACATAAAGCAAAGTGAATCAATCCCTGCCCCTCCTTCCTGCCCTGAGCTCCCTCCCCCGCTGTAGTCACTGTCTCCCAGCAGGCCTTCTAGATTAACTGCTATCCCCCAGCAGGGTCAATCCAAATATGACTGAGTCCTGTGCTAGCCTGGAGGAGGATGATGCCTGGAGATCCTGTGCCTTGGGACTCAGAGTCCAGCCTCCCGGTGCAGATCAAGTGGCTGACCAGCTTCACACACTTCTGATCTCCTCCCCAACCCGTTTGCCCTTGGCCCAGGGAAGCTCATGCTTGCTTTACTTCACTGAAGTGAGGAGATCATAGAAATACTCATGGCCTTGGGATCGTGACCAGCAGTCGCTCTGTTAAAGTGGGAACTGGAAGGCATCACTGTTTCAGCCCAGAAGAAAACAAGACCCAAAGCAGGCTGGTTAGTGGTTTCCCACTCCTCGGTGAAGTCCATGGCCTCCACATGGTCCAAAAGTGCTTTTGAGAAATGAGCAAGACATCCCAGTAATAGCATATTGGGTGGTGTGTTTTCCCCCTAAAGTCCTGCCTTCATTTTACAGTCACACAGAAGAAATAACCCCATTGCCCAATCAAGCCTGGAGGAGATGTGCTACTATATACATTTTTTTCTTTCTTTAAAAATTTCTTTTTCTTTCTTTTTTTTTGGTTTTGTTTTGTTTTGTTTTTTTAAAAATCATTTGAGTTGCAGGTCAGGTAAGTTGGTTCTGGAAGTATTGGTAGTTCCATTGGTATGAGAGAGACTTGTCTACGGGCAGGTAAACCCCAATTTGCCAACACAGGCAATAACCAGAGCGGCCAGCTGCAGCTGCTGCACAAATGGTCGAGGAGGAGGAGGAGGAGGAGGAGGAGGAGGAGGGCACCATGGACACGGGCGAAGTTGGAGGCGGGACAATGCAGAGGACACCTGCTGCTGCTCTAACATGGGTGCTGGTGCCACCTGTGAGAAGAACCAGGTGAGTGGGCACACTATACAGGAGGGCTGTACAAACTGGGCACCGGACAGGTAGTTCCTCTGGCGGTCAAGGTGGCTCTACCTGTCCTTGAGCTCTCGTGTTACCCGCTTGGTGATACGTCCACACATCAGGCCAATCAGGAACAATATACAGATGCTCCCACTGATCACAGACAGAATGTAGTTCTTTGATGGAGATGTCATCACTTGCATGGCGAGGTCAGAGAAGCCATCTGCTGGGGCCACCTGCAAAGACACACCGCAGCATCGGCCTCTGAGAGAGAAGTGGGCTAGGGCGGTGCCAGCTCTATCTCGCCCCCCTCAATTCTTAGTTTAGCTTATGCCATTTCTTTTGGGGAGAGAGGACAGGGACAAGAAAATCAAACACAGAGCTACAATTCCTTTTCCTGATAATACAGGCATATCTACTGCACAAAATGAGAAAATACAGACAAATACAAAGAGATGGGGTCTCATACCATCCATCATGGTGACCGTCACCACCAACCTGGCAGCAGCCCTTACACTGAAGACCTGGCAGAGTGCTCCACATGGCTTTGCTTTTTTCCCAACGGGGCTCACACCTGGCGTGGAGCCCATGGTGGGGTTTGAACTCACCACCCTGAGATTAAGACCCGAGCTGAGATCAAGAGTCAGATGCTCAACCAACTGAGCCACCTAGGTGCCCCACTGACATGTTTTCAATCATTTAGTCCTCATACCAATCCTTGAAAGTAGATTTTATTACTCCCACATTACAGCTGAAGACCCAGAGGCCCAAGGGGTGGGAGGTGGTTACTTGCAGAATGTCACAGGTTCTTATGTATTCGGATTTATTTTTAAAAACACAGAGAACAGTTGAGATTGTGTTGGATGTTGGTTCTGTATCTTGACTTCTTTTCACTCACCATTAAATCGTGAGCACTGCCCCCCAGCAGAAACACTGTGCAAACATGACTCAGGCCGACTGAACACACTGCACCACTCCCACAGTCATGGACTTGCAGTCTAGCCAGTTTCCATACTGTGCTCCTCTCTCTGCTTTCTCGGATGGACCTCTATGCAGACCCCGAGAGCAGAATCAGGGCCCAAAGGCTCCCCAGGCGCACAGGGACAGGGACCTGCTCTTCTGGGTCTCACCTTAGCCTGGGTGCCCGAGAGGGTCTTCCCAGAGACATCTGGCTATGTCTATCTGCTTCTCTGCGCATCCCACAGAGCGGGGAGGTTTCAGACGAATGTGATCTGTGCGCTGACATTTGCCGGCACCGAGCCAGCAGTGGGGTCATGGCAGCAATGCTTCGCAACGGACTGGCGGAGAGGCTGAGCAAGGGAGAGACTGACCTGGCGCCTCTCCATTGCCTCACTTAACTGATGGCTTCCAAGCCAACTCGGGTCCCTTGGAAGAAGGGGTGAGGGGACGTGCTTGCTACTTGGACAGCTGTGAACCCGTCCCTTCATTTCCCTTACATCTAGGTGTGAAGACTTTTCGTGGTCCTTCCTCTTTGCCTGTTACCTTGACCTTTCAAGTGGGCAACAGGAGGAACTGGTCAAGAAAGTGGGCGCAGTTCTTGTGATCACTCTCTTAATCTAAGGCAACTGGGAATGTCTGTCCCGATGTGGGTGACACCAAGAGCGTGGATCTAGAAACCTGACTTTCTCACTGAGGCCAAGTCACAGCTTCCATGACCGTAAAGTGAGGAAATAATCACCCCACTTACCCCGCTGGGTTTCAAGGTTCAAGCGAGGTAATATGGCCATCAGTGTGTCTTAAACACCACAACGCAATGTACACAGGAGAAGAACGGTTATTCTTCTCGCTGAGGCTCAATTTTTGTAGGAAAAATCTTCCCCGGCCCCAGTCTGCCCGGGTACCACATACATTCACCAGTGTCCTGATGTCTCTCTGCCCAATTATTTCCCTGCTTCAGCCTAGCCGAGGGCTAGGGCTAGTCTCATAAACATATGCTCCTCCCAAACACTGGGTCAAGTCAGAAAACCAAGCTTTCAGACAGCAGTGACCAGCCCGCTTGCTTTCCCATGGGCATGACATCTGGGTTCTCTGCGCATGGCTGGTTTCAGTCCCATCCTTTGGGTGACTTGCTTTTCCGTGGTGGACTATGGGCAATGAAGAGAAAGCGCTGGCCCTGGCAAAGCCTGCGGACACAGCCCCGTGGCAAAAGCAGATGGGGGCTGCAGGCTCAGGGAAGCTGGGGTGGCTTTTCGAATACCCTCCCTGCTGGTCTCGCAACAAGGACAAGACCAGTGGAGAAGCTGGGGAAATGACAGAGAGATGACCGTTTCAGGAGATTCTCTCGGTCATTACCTTTGCAGCGTAACTCCACATTTCAATCCGGTCATTGAGGCGTTTTTTGCACTCGGGTTGTAACCTCACCCGCTTATCCTCCAGGGCCTCCATGAGGCAGGACATTTCTGTGGAAGAAAAGGGATAAGAAGAGTCTGAAACTGTCCAGAACAGAAATTTCTGTAAGGTTGGGAGAAGGGGACCTCACCACCAGAGAATTCAGATTTATGGGCTATACAAAGTTAAATCCATTCTAGGAAACTTGAACCAAGATTTCACATGAAGAATGATACTGAACTTCCAAGGCCAGCTGCCCAGAGACTTTTAAAACCGCTCTCATTTTTACTGGGCACGTCTGGCTCGGAAACAACTTTCTACCTGCCCAGGATCCGCCCAGTGTGGCTACTGGGAAAGGTGATGAAGCTGCTCTAGTTTGGACAAGGGGGAAGAGGGCCATGATGATGACTAAGTTTTGCTTCCCTGATAAGTACTCAACCTTCCCTTTTCATCAGATCCGTACATCTGGTCATGGCTAGGTCAGTTCACACCCAAAGGACTATTCCTAAATTCATTCTGCCACAAAAGCCTAGTTCCAGCATCAACCAGGCCCCCAGAGGATGCTGTCTGTGTCTGAGCTGCAGCTACACAAGAGAGTGGCTGCACGTGCTCTCAGAGGGAGTCTGAGAGATCGTTCAGAGACTGTCAGAGTCAACAGTGACTTACGACGCCCTCGGCCAGGTGTAATGGCTGCACAGTGGTGTTTAATGTCCAGGGCACACGCTGTATGAAGGACTGGGTCCACAAAGATGTCTGCTTTGCTTTCCTTCAGCATGTTTAACACTTCCTAGGGAGGGAAAATCATCGCAGAGAGCTTTTGTAGAGGAAATGCATCAGATCTGTTATCTGCAAATACTTTATATACAAACAAAAAAGTCAAGGAGGGAAGGCTGAGGGTTAGCAACAGAACTTGTCGACATAGGTGGCAATGTGGTGATGATGAACAGAATGTAGATTTTTAGCAACTGATTTAATTCCATAAATACACTTGGGAGACCTAGTGTAAGCAAAGCTGTATGCTCAGTAAAGTGTGGGGTTATAAAATCAGATTTGGGTTTTGGCAGTCTGGCATGCCATATTATTAAATACTAAGTATTAGTATTTATACTGGTATAACATAGCTATTTTCTTACTTTAAGAAGACTGAAAAATGTGAAATCTGAAAATCAGAGTAATATGCTATCTTAAAATTCCCAAACAACGGTCAACGTTTGCAAAGTGTTTCACTTTACCTCCATTATCCTCAAAAGAAAAAAAAAAAAAAAAGACTGACAGAGCATAAATTTTACTGCAAGAACAATTCTTACTGAGTTTAAAGATGTTCCGAACAAGTGGAATATAAAAATGATGGAACTGAAATCAGCTCTGCAGTCTCTCCATTTATACACGATGAAAGAATAGGAGGTAAAGACAGGCCAGAAATGCTTTTTTGTTCTTTTAATTAAATTTATTTATTTACTTTAGAGAGAGAAAGAGAACATGCTGAGCCTGACGCGGGGCTCAATCCCACGATCCTGAGATCATGACCTGAGCTGAAACCAAGAGTCAGATGCTAAACCGTGCAACCTAGGTGCCCCTAGAAATGCTTTCTTAAATAAAAATAGTTTGCTTTCAATGCAAAGACTATAGTCCCAATAAAACAACAATAATAAAAACAAGAAAACAAAACCCGAAACTCAAATATTGTTCAAAAAGTCCTCTTCAAAGTTAAATGGGATTTGATGACAAAGCAGTCCAAGGAAAATATCTGGATTTAGCTTTCCGCCAACTCCCTCCTCAGACCGTGTGCAATCGGAAGCATTTCAGCAGATGAAAAGATCTGTGTACAGTAGTCACCGTGACTCAACAATGACATCATTGAAACACTTTTCAAAAAAAGAAAAAGTTTTTTAAAAAAGATCAGATAGATCATCTCAGTTGCAGTTTTACAAGATAATGTATGCTTAGCAGTCACATTTTGTTAACTTTGTTTTTATGTGCTATTTCTGAAATGACTTTTATGGATGCAGTATAGGTACTGATATGTTGGACTTGACATCTTGCTCTCGGCAGTGTACTCACAGTGCCCCTCAACAACGGCCTGGTTGTGGGGATAAGACATACTCACAAATAATTAGTACATGTGAAAGAATACTTAAGGTATAGGTGATTAATTGTTAAGAACCCAATTAAGGTTTTCTAAGAGGGAACAGTGTGTAGAATTCTGGGGAGGAAGGTTTAGATGTTACCCCTGAGACGTCAGAGGACAGCATTGGAAGGAAAAAGAAAAAGGAGTGAAAGCAGGCAGGAAAAGGGCCACTGATGGTGGTGGTTACCTTCTTACAAGTGTCCGTCTTGATTTTGAGCAGGTTAACTTTGAGGCATTCCTCCACTTGACCCGTCTGCTCTTGGGCTGCTGCTTCTTCGGCACACAGATTAGAGATCTGTTCAAGAGACACATGAAACACAAGGCCATCTCTACTCTCACCAGAAACCTTGTCTCTGCAGCCTGTAGATTTGGTGGTCCTCCCACACGGAGCCACAGGTCCTCTCAAACAGTTTCCCGATGGACTTCACTCCCCTGCCTCCTGTACAAGCTGCGAGGCCCCATCCTCCTTCATGAGGACTGGCACACAGAGTCGAAAACCAATCAGTGTACCCATCTTTATGCTGTCAACCCTGAGATTTGAGTCAGACTGTCCCAGGATTGGTCACAAAGAAGGCTATCCTTGATGATACAGGAGGAAGGTGATATAACCAAGTGAAATACTAAAAGCAAATGCTTTATAAGGTTCAGGGTCAACTCAGACTCACAACTTGGCAGCACATGTGCGTATGTGGTATGCGTGCACACACACACACACACACACAAAGGGGTTCTAAAACACAGTCCACACCAAAGATTAAAAACTTAGTTTTCTTTGGACAGCTGTATGAGTAAGCTTCTTTTAAAAATCTTTAGCTATGATCCTCTAAAATTGACATATGTTGTTGAACAAAGTTCTCCACATGGCCTTTTCTAGCTAGGAAGTCAAATAATTTCCAAGGACAGGCATTTCTTTAGTGCTATTAGAGGAGCACTTTATCTTTCTGGCAAGTCTCAGGGTATTCTAGGTTGACCATCAGAATAAGGAGAAGGGAAGAACAAACTATATGGAGACATATATAATAAAAGAATACTCTAGTACACGCAAACAATGAACTGTGGGACACTACATCAAAAACTAATGATGTATGGTGATTAACATAATAAAAAAAATACCAAAAATAAAAAATAAAATAAAAAGAATACTCTAGTACACAGAGAAACACGGAACCAACACTGTATAGTGATAGGACCAGTGCCAAGTCTAATTCAGTGTCACAGGGAACCAGAAACTCAAACAATGGAGAATCCAGAAGATGGGCCTTCAACTATCCTGGATTCAAGGCTGAAGGGCAAGAGAAAACAGGACTCTTCTCCAATAAGATTTCTCTGACCAGCTCTGTTCATAACCAGTTTCGTACCCAAATCCTACCTCATCTGAGCAGTGCAGCTGGAGCTGAGGATCTAGTCGGTAATCCAGAGCAGACTCCTGGATAATAATCCGTATCTGGTCTTCACAGTCTGAAGAAAGCCGCTACATGTGACAAAGGGAGACCTTCATCAGCCTATCAGACAATTTCAGCTTTATTTATTTATTTAAAGATTTTATATTTATTTGACAGAAAGAGACACAGCGAGAGAGGGAACACAAGCAGGGGGAGTGGTAGAGGGAGAAGCAGGCTTCCCGCAGAGCAGGGAGCTCGATGCGGGGCTCTATCCCAGGACCCTGGGATCATGACCTGAGCCGAAGGCAGATGCTTAAAGACTGAGCCACCCAGGCGCCCCACAACTGCAGCTTTTTATTTGGCCCAATTTGGGAAGGTATGAAAAAGGTCTTGGGAAAGTAGGAGCAAGCTAGGAACTTCCCAAGAAAAAATGACCAGGAGTCGAGGGGCCTCTACAACCACACCTCTGTGAAGAGTCCAAGCCAGTTTATACCTGATCAGCATATCTCAGCTTGAGACAAGAAATGACTTGACCTTCCAGCTCTGAATCATCCTTGGCCTTAGTCAGGATACCATGGCAGAATTTAGGAATGTCAGCTTTACAGGCTTTCCTTAACACAGGGTTTAGGCGGTAATCTGGAGTGGAAAGTTATAAGAACATGATAAAATATTCCACCTGATTCACAAACATTAGAGATCTACCTTTCAAAAGGGGGCATATTATGTCACTGACCACAAACAAACCACTGATTTGTTTATTCGCTAAATGCTTACCGAGCTCTCACTATGCTATTTTTAACCAGCCCAGCAACAGAATTTAATGAAAGAGTAGAGGTGGAGATGGAGCCCCAGGAATTCTACTTTGCAGCAGCTCCACGGGCTCTGCTGGTACCTGCATTCTTAGTAGTTGTCATGAAGACCAAGCAGCCATCACCAATGTTCCCCATAACAGAGGTTTTGGAAAACACTGAGATTACCTGACTCAGCTTACCAACTATGTTACAAGGTCTTGCAACTCAGAGCCAAAATTTCTCTCTTCTAAAAGACATTACCCATATATTCTCCTACCACATGCAGGAAGTTTTGTTAAATCTCTAGAGTTTTCAAAGACCTCCAGCCCTGACTCCTGTCTCCTCTTTCCTACGACTTCCATTCTGTTCTCCCAGATACTCTTTGAAGAAAGAATAAGTCGTTTTGCTTATTGCATCCAGACCATTCCCTTAAAACCCACAGACAACAAAACACCTGTAGTTTAATAAGGCAGGTATATGCCAACTCAGTTCCACTGAAGCCCCACTCAAAGGGACGGGGAAAGCCAGGCCATGATGTTACCTGTGTTCTGGGTGATCTGGCGCTTGGTTATCATCTGTTTGCATTTGGGATCCATCAATTCACTGTTTTTATTTTGTTTCAAGCACTGCAACATGGTTTTGGAATCTGCTTCTGGACAGAACCTCTGCAAGAAATAAAGTTTTACAAAAGTAGTTATCCAAATACGGCAATTAACACCATCCATACCATTCTTTCATCTATTGGAGTGCTAACGACAAAATCGGCTTGAAGATATCACTCGGTGCAAGAGAAACAGCTAAGTCTGAATACACACCCAGCCTCAACTTCCCCTTTCTTCATCTATTCTCTACTATATCGCTCATAGTTCTACTACTCTCACTGTTTCCTATTTTGCATAGGACTGACTCTGTACCCACATAGCTATATTACATTATATGACATCTCCTGAGCTTAAATATTGTTTAAGGATGAATGTAATGCCATACCAGGTGGCCAGGTAGCCCTCAAGCCGTATCTACCCAATCGGAACAGGGAACTTAAAAATTACCCACCAATCAATGTGAACAAGAATGTGGGGAAAGGACCAGTCTAGTTCATCTTTTAACTACGGGGGCTATAATCCTACCAAATCTGTGAGCTAGCCCCTGTACACTTGTTAGTGTCCTTCAAGTCAGAGAGATCCATTTTGGACTAATAATAAATTCGATCTCTATGTGCTAATCAACAGTCTATCTGCTAATCACAGTCTACTGATACCTTAATATAGGTTGGTGACGTGGGTTGCTGACTGGCTTTTATAAAAGTCATCAAAATCTTACAAAACTACCTCAAATCAGAGTCTGACATTTCCACTTTTACATAGGACTCAAATCTACCAGGCCCAGCTAAAGACACTTCTAACTTTCACAATTCTCTTTGGTATCTGATAGAGTGAAAAATACCATTTTATTTTAAAGTAGTATTTTATTTAAGTAAATTATAATAAAGCATTTTGTTTTATTTTATTTTAAATAAGGCATCAGAACTTTAAGTTTAATCTCTTCACATACGTGGAAAGATTCAGGAACTGGCATCTAGGTTCTCAAGTCAGCCCTGCTGTAGAGAACGCTCACTGGAAAAGTGTATGAAACAAAAGAACTTGTAGAACAGAAAAGTCTTTCGATTGCGGAAGGACGATGATCAGGACACTTGGTGGTGGCTTTTTCAGTATACCTACCACTACCCGCTCTCAAAGACTAATCATGTATTTCCTGGGTATCTATTCACTTGTGCCTTAGGTCGAGGTGAGCTCAGTTAGCTTAGCTCAGTGGTTCTTAAACTTGAGCCTGCATCAGAATCACCTGGAAGCCTTGTTAAAACGGACAACTCTGCTCCCAGAGTTTCTGATTCAGTAGATATGCGGTGGGCCCAAGCACTGATCAGTTCCCAGGTGATGCTGAGGGACCACACTATGAGAACCACTGTCTCATTTGTATAAAAGAGGTTGAATGAAAAGATTATACAAATTTACTCCGACATTTAAAGAAGCTTATGTTGTTATTTTACTTATCCTGTGCTTACCCCTGGTTTTGGATCCCTTACCTTTATCATCTGCTTGCAAACTCTCATGAGTGTATAGTCTAGTTCTGGGTCCATCATCTCTGTCTCCTGTAGCTTAAAAACTTTCTGGTGGCAACGGGTACTTAGCTGCTTCTTGTTTTCTTTCAGACATTCAATAATCTAGGGCACAAGAATTATGGTCGTGTTAAGGGGTGTATCCTGGCTTGATAATCCAAGAGTTCTGACTACAGCCTTCAGTTCTTAGTGCATCCCCCATCTTTTGTTCCATTCCGAATTCCTAGGCAATAGGAATCAGAATTTGCTCACCAAGGAGAATTAATCAATTTACAGCTCCAGGGCTAAGAGTGAACCAAACTGTATAAAAATAATGGATGAGTTGAGCAGACTGCACTGGAGTCTAAAAGGAAGGAAACCCACTCAGATTCCTGGTTTCTTCTGCCTTCCAGCTCTTCCTTGTCCAGATTCCTTCTGGAGCCCACATTAGGCTCTCTGCCTTTCTCTGGAGCAAAAGCCCTGACTAGACAGTAGGCACGAGCTAGGAGGATCAGTTTAACTCACCATTTACCACATGAGAATAGAGCATTAGATGCCAGACATGAAAGAGACCCAGTCCTTACCCCTGATAAATACAGTCTCACAGGGCAAACTTTTATAAACAAATAACTACCAAAAAAAAAAAAAAAAAAAAAAGAGGAGTGGGTTAACATAAAAGCATAAAGTGCCACACGATGGATTTTAAGATAGTGAATTAAGTGTATCCTGAAACCTGCCATTCCCTACACCAACCTTTTAGATATTATAAACAAATGACAAAGAAGGGAAACAGACGGGAAGCTGTAGTAACTAGGGCTGTACATAAGGTCAGGAGACTTCTAGGAAATCTTTAAGGCACGACCAAAAATCACCAAATAACTGAGAGGGAAAAGTAATAGATCAATTTAAAAAATGCATTTAATATCCTTAGAATAATACAGAAAGAAATGGTAAATCAGAATCAAGAACAGATGGTTGTGAAAAGAACCAATTATGGATCTTGGAAACAAAAAATAAAACCCAACAGGTGGTCTCTCTAAAGAGCAGAACGGACAGAACTAAAGAATACATACATGTTTTCTCTGCAAAGTGGAACTGAGGAATTACCTCAATGCAGTACAAACAACAAAGAAATGGAAAGTATGAAAGAAAAAGAGACATGGAGGACAGATTCAGATGTTCCAGAAGGAAGGAAAGGGCAGTGTTTGAAAAAACAGTAACTGAGGGCGCCTGGGTGGCTCAGTTGGTTAAGCGACTGCCTTCGGCTCAGGTCATGATCCTGGAGTCCCTGGATCGAGTCCCGCATCGGGCTCCCTGCTCGGCGGGGAGTCTGCTTCTCCCTCTTACCCTCCCCCCTCTCATGTGCTTGCTCTCTCTCATTCTCTCTCTCTCAAATAAATAAATAAAATCTTAAAAAAACAAAAAACAAAAAACAATAACTGAGGCTAAAGCCCTATGGCAATGCCCTGAACTACACAGAAAAGGTAGCTGAATCACTGGAAGAACATTGAAAGAAAAAAATCACTCGTTTGCACTTCATTCCTGACAATTCTGGGTAGGGCCCTGTTCTGTGCATTAAGGAAACAAAGTTTCCCTGGTGACTCTTATGTTAACAGAGTAAGAACTAGTTAAGAACTTCTGTGTAATGGGCACAGAGTAAGGGACTAATCAATTTTGGAGGTGCACGGTGTTAGGAAAGCTATGGAGAGGAGGAAGCATTTGAAGGATCGGGAAGAGCTTCTCCGGAAGACATGGTGGGAAAGGACAAGGTAACCTGAAAGAGGGAAGACAATGCAGGTAAGGAACTTCCTTTGGGAGAAGGCTGATATAGCTTAGGAGGGGGTGATTAGGCTGGAGAGAATGTGAGGAGGCTCATCCCACCAGCAAAGAATTAATTATTAAAATGTTACCTTCCCATTTTCACAATTAGAAAATAAAAATAGTCACCTGAGCATTGCCATACTGCACAGTGGAACAGTAGTTCTTGATGTCAGTCTTGCAAGCTTCATACAGATCTGGTTCCAGACGGATGTCCTCGGTCTGCACGGGAGGGAGCCAGCATGGAAAAAGGAGCTTATTCTGAACTGGGATGTCAAATGTTCTACATACTCATGTGCTGACCGGATCTTGTCTAGTGACCACAACTCTTACCCAGCAAAGCAGTAGCAGTGTGGCCACCACAGCACAAGGAAAGCTTGGATTTAGTTTCAGTCCTGCCACTGACTGACTAGATGGCCTTGGACTTTCTTTGCACAACAAAATGCTGTCACCTGCCTGGCCCCTTCACAGGACTGCTGTGAAATGAAATTAGATCATATGATGTGGAAACCACTTCAGAAAGTCAAAACCATCATATAAATGTAGGGTTCTACTTTTATTATTTTATCGAAAGGGCAAGGTTCAAAGCTAGGGACCCAAAGTCTCAACTGTAACTGGACATCAAGGCCAGCTCCACTTAAACATAATTAGCATTGAATCACTCCCGCCCTATGGGAAAATCTGGTAATGCACCTTTTGCGATATTATTGGTGGTCGGTAGTCATTACTAGATTTTGCTTAGACTGAGGTGAAGTATGATTCACAATACAGAACATATTAAACATACTTTTAGCCATTTTCTTAACATGGTTTAACCTCAAAAGTAAAGTAAGAAGTTTCCTTTTACAGTGCACACTGCAGCTGACTTGCCAACAGCTGTCTCACCTCAGGATCTGTAAGCTCATCAGTGCACGGCACTCCCCTGGAGACTGCTGTTGGTCAGGGAGTGGGCACAGATCTCAAACTGAAAGATGAAAATTGAGGGAGGGGTGCTTGGGTGGCTCAGTCAGTTAAGCGTCTGACTTGGGATCAAGCCCCATGTCAGGCTCCCTGCTCAGCGCCTCGGCCGGGCTCATGCTCTCACTCAAAAAACAAAAACAAAAACAAAGAAACCAAACACACACACACACACACACACACACACACACTCTCTCTCTCTCTCTCTCTCTCTCTCTCTTTCTCTCTCTCTCTCTCTCTGAGGGAAGGATCTTGCTACAGGCTGTCGGGAAGGGAGGAGGTTTCTCCTGTTCTACTTTGCTGCTGGAGACGGAATGTTGGAGCAGGTGGCTCAGCTACTGCAGGCAGCCAACATGAGGGAAACCAGCCTTGCAATGAAGCTGGTGCCACAAACAGCAGAAACAATAGGGAAAGACCCTTGATCCTTGAGGGCATTACTGATGCAACGACTGTATCACATTCTTACAGCTGAACTTCCAGTGACACATGGTCAAAATATTTTATCGGTTAGGAAAAGTGAAGCAAGAAGCTGTCCATGGCAAATTTTAGCACAAGGCTCCAAGTTTTAACAATCACAGTAGTGGCTAAAATCTTCCAATTTGCCCTCACCCTTCACCCAACTTTCTAGAGCCTGCCCCTGTGTTTCTGGGCCCCAGAGGCCATGCTACGAGGCGTTACCATCTCTAGCTCCTCCACCCGCAGCTGCTTGCGGCACTTCAGGGACACCCTGTGCTCCTTGGCCTCCTGGAGAGTGTCATTGCGCACGGTCGTGCTCAGGCAGATCACCACGTCCACCCTGCCAAGGAAAGGAGAAGGCTGAGACTGGCTGGAGCCACACGAGGGCAGAGAGCCCAGAGCGAGGCTGGGGCAGGGGCTGGATCACCACCCCAGAGTGCATGACCCCCTTTACCATGCTTCTGAATGCCCTTTCTAGAAGTCCCACTGTGTTTACAGAGTGCTGAAAGCAGTAATCTGACTGTGTATATTACAAACGTCTGAAGGCAGACTACATTCCTGACTGGCAGGGAGGCCAGAGAGGGGACATGTATGCAAGGACAGTTCAATGCTTGTTTTGTTACAAATATGTGACCAGGGGGGAATGCTGCTCTTAACTCTGGACTGTGTTTTTGATGAAAGGTAAAATTCATTTCTGAAAGGTACAGAAACCTAAGCAAAATGGGAACTTGGTTTATACAAGGGAAATGTGTTCTAGAAATGTGCCTTTGCAGGGGCGCCTGGGTGGCTCAGTAGTTAAGCGTCTGCCTTCGGCTCAGGTCATGGTCCCAGGGTCCTGGGATCGAGCCCCACCATCGGGCCCCCTGCTCAGCAGGAAGCCTGCTTCTCCCTCTCCCACTCCCTCTGCTTGGTTCCCTCTCTCGCTGTGTCTCTCTCTGTCAAATAAATAAATAAATAAAATCAATTTTATTTATTTATTTGACAGAGAGAGGGAGAGCACAAGCAGGGGGAGCGGCAGGCAGAGGGAGAGGGAGAAGCAGGCTCCCTGCTCAGCAGGGAGCCCGATGCGGGGCTCGATCCCAGGACACTGGGGTCACGACCTGAGCCAAAGGCAGATGCTTAACCAACTGAGCCACTCAGACGCCCCTAAATAAATAAAATCTTTAAAAAAAAAAGAAAAAAGAAAAAAGAAATGTACCTTTGCAAAAGAGTGAGATCGAAGAATTGGGGCAGCCATGCTGTGAAAGCTCATCACTTTCCTCATTGAGACCTAATTCTTAAATGAATCAAGTTTTTGTTTGTTCACTAGACCTCTTAACTCAGTACAAGCCCCTGCTGCTCTCCGGAAGAGCTGACATCATGGAATGATGTCGGGAGGAAGTGAGTTAACCTCTCATTCACACTGCAACTTGCTCCTCTAAGTGTGCAATCTGAATCTGCTTCCTCAGTCAGACAGCCTGGACCTGGGAACATTAAAATCGGCCCTTTAGCTTCCAGGCCTCTCCATGTCAGAACCACCTGTGACCCCTGTGGCTCCAGGCAACTATAAAGATGATCTGGCCACACAATCCAAGTACTTGGCCACACCACCACGGGAGTGTGCCGGCCTCCAAGGCTAATCCTACCAGAACACAGGATATTTGTCCAGACTTTAGGGAAGCAGAACGAATCAAGTAAAAGCTACATACTTCTTTTTTATGTTGGGGCAAAGTTTCAACACATCCTCCTTGCAGGCCATTTTAAACTTGTAAGAGAAACGAAAATCCTTCATCTGCACCTGAGAAAGACAATGAGAAAGAAAATCAGCAGCTCTCTAGCAAGTTCCACATCAGCAGTGCGCACAGAGACTGCAGAAGCCCACCTTCTAGGCCCTGTGCAACTCACCTTCCGTCTCAGGCTTCAGGACCTGCCCACCTCCCCAATCCTCCCTCTGCTATGGCCCCTCTGGCTTCCCTACCATTCCAATCACGCTGCTCCCTCTGCCAAAAGGGCTCTTCTCCCAGATCTCCCATGGTTTGCTCCGTCACCTCCTAGGCACTTCTATTCAAAGACCTCCTTCTGAAGCCCCCTTTCTCCTTCACCCTCCAGCCCGTAGGTGACTTTATTTTTCTTCATAGGCCCACCTGAGACTGTATTTATGTGTAAACGTGTTTTTGTGTCTTTCTCTTACTAGAACATAGAATTGACAAGGGCAGGGTTTGTCTGCCCAAGGAGCCCACTGTCTCCAGTGCCCTCAGAGGCCCTCAATATCATTTGGTAAAGGCAAAAGATAGGCCAAAGGCCCCAAGAAGAGGTCAATTTTACACAGATGACAGATTTCATCCTCCTGGGAAGGAAGTGCTTGCTTTACCAGAATCACTTCCTTTAGATCTGTGCCAACTTTGAAGAGTACAGTTTAACCTTATTTGGATGTCAGACCTGGTATGGTAGTATGATTTAAAAGAGAATACGGCTTAGGGTCTAGTGTACTGACAGACATTTGGACTGCTGCACTGAACAGAGACACAAAACAGCAGATCCCACTGATACTAGCTGTGTAAGCAAAAGCTAACATACTTTACAAAAGCAAGCAATGTGACTCATCTCTATTCCCACTGAGCTGCCCATTCCCTAAGGGTACAGACTCCATCTTACTTAGCACTACAGTCCCAGAGCCTACCATTGTTCTTGGCCATAGTGGATAAAGACCACGTTTTTTGAGAACTGGAGAAGGGCATATTTGGAACAAATGATTTCTCACAGAACAGGTGCTCTGATGCTCTGGAAGAGAAAGGAATTCAGAACCACCCAAGCAGCCGAGATAGGGTTTGCCTGGCGTTACTGACCAGCTGGAAGTGGGTGACTCCAATGGCACACTTCTCATTCATATCCTTCTGGTGTTTGTTCTGAATGAGACATTCCATCAGGTCCCCAGAGTCGATCTGGTTATCTGCCACATCCTGGGGAAGGCAGTGCACACTTACACTTCATTTCTAATAATTAATGAACAAATCCTGCACCCCAGTTCATAAAAAAATGAAAACTAGACTGATTCTAGAGACTTCCCCAACATGATACATCATAAATTATATCAAAATCAGTCTGAGAAATTATAAGGGATAAACACTGGGTGGACTAAAAGTTGCAGAGCAAGTTGCCCCACACAAAGCTCCAACAAGAACATATACTGTGCAGGGCTTTCACTCCTTTCCCCCCATGACGCCAGCAGCTGGCTTTCAGGATCACACCCAACACTGCCTCCTGATGGTCAGACCCTTATTATGGTTCCTGCATGGTTTCACCCCCACAATTTAGCTACTTCAATAACTGAATCAAGTAATACAGTAACAGAATTCATTCAGTTGACAAGGAGAAGCTATTATCACTGCTAACAAACCCTGGCTAAGGTACTGGAAGCAGCTCAGCCGTGCTCAGAAGGGCCTGCCCCACCCCTATGAAGGGCATCTCTACAACTGCTGCTAAGTACATACCAGGGCATCCACCAAGCATAATCAGGTAAGGTTTCCCAGGATGGTGGCACCCCCTTTTAATCTGTTTACATTTTCAACTTTAACTTGTCAATCTATCGCTTAGGAGTCATGTATGCTGCAGAGGTTAAGTGCAATATACTTGAGGGTCAAAGTCCTAGTGAATTTGGTTCTGTTCCTCATCCGTTTCTCCAGACATTACTTACATGGCAAAAGTTCTGAATTATGGGCTCACAGGCTCTCATCAGCAAGGCTTCTATTTGAATGTCCTGTAGAAGATTAAACATATTAATAATTCTGCTTCAGAAAGAGCTAGTTGTGGCAAGAGTGGCAGTTTGTGTTTCTGAATCAGTAGCAACTGATGGGCAAATAATTCTAGATGTAGTCTTTAGGTTAGATAGCCCCGGCACAGACAGAATTGCTCCTCCATTACATTCTGAAAGGCAAGTTGATCTAGAGGCAGATACCCCTTGAGCCTGAGCAAAAAAGAGAAGGCAGAATTAAGAACAGTGCAGAGAAAAAACATTTAACAGTAATACTAGAGTTCAGCCTTTGGAGTTTTTCCAAATGGCTAAGCAGTTCAAAATGAAAATACGGGTAAATGACATCTGTCTTTAGTTTATAAGCTCATAAAACAGATGACAAACCACTGCCTCTGGGGAATATACACAAATGTCTTTAAGCAGACAGTAACCTCTGTGCAGCACTAGCTGCTGAAATAACATCTTCCTTTAAAAAGTGACACACCCCAGAATGTCCTCATAAGCTCACAAGGACAATGAGAATGGGAGAAGGCAGATGACAGAAGATGAAAGCAGCAATAAACTTTTGAAAAATAGAAAGAAAGAAAAAAAAAGACTAGTTGGGAAATGTAATTTTACATAATGCCAATTTTGACAATTCAAACGGTTCCTAAAAGGCTTAAGATAAAAAAAAAAGAGCAATCCCCCATTTCCCTAATTTCTGCCCCCAAAGGACAATTTTAACATTTTTAGCTGCTCCCTCCCCAGTAATGCTCTCTGTATTTCTAAATAATATGTCTATGCTTATAAGACTTTCTAATTTCTTTCTTTCTTTTTTTTTTTTTTTTTTAAAGATTTTATTTATTTGCGAGAGAGACAATGAGAGACAGAGAGCATGAGAGGGAGGAGGGTGAGAGGGAGAAGCAGACTCCCCGCCGAGCAGGGAGCCCGATGCGGGACTCGATCCCGGGACTCCAGGATCATGACCTGAGCCGAAGGCAGTCACTTAACCAACTGAGCCACCCAGGCGCCCCTCTAATTTCTTTTTTAATATTTCTGTGGGTTTCTGGATGAAACAGGGATAAACACACGTATTCGGTCTTCCACGTTTAAGTGGAAGTCCCAGGCTTTTATTTTATTATTGATGACACAAACATTACCAGGTAACCTAATTGAAAGAGCTAAGATAAGAGAACAGGAACAGGAATGCTTGGACTAGTCTTGCATGTGATTAAGAGATCTGAAGCACAGCTGCTATCTTTTCTTAAAGGGGAGGAAAAAGATTGGTCTCATCACTGTGATAATTCTAATTTATGAAGAAAACCAAAGGGCTAAGTATATAGAATATTTCTCTGGAGAGATAAGGAAAGGGGTTCAGGAAGCAACAAAATATACTTCTTTGTAAAGTCAACAGAGGGAATGGGCACTCTTGGGGGCCAAGAAAGGGCAGGACTGAGAAAAGAGGATGGGCCGCTGACAGGATGCCCACGGTCTATGAGCCGCAAGCTGCTTACCTCGGATTCTAACTCGGTGAGGTTGCCGACTATATCTCTGCACTCTACAGCCAGGTCGTCAAGGTGGTCCTGGAGGCACTCAAGCTCCTGCAAATAAGAAAGCAATCCCTTGGCATTTTTCAATTATATAAATGAACAAGGGAAGCCAAGAGAACAGTGTCTACCTCCTTTTCTTCTTAAAACTATTTCACTGAACAGAACACTAAAGCTTTATTTGAGTCCCCAAACCGGGACTGTTGAGAAGATAAGTACTTGATGTAACAGGGTGGTTAAGAGGGTCAAGGGGGTACAATAGCCACACAAATCCTCCAGAAGGCCAAATCGGTAAGTCCAACAAGAATCAATGCTCAGATGTCCTCAGCATCTAAAAATTTTATCAGGCCTTTATTCTATGCCATCAACAACCTGTCATACCATTTTTTAAAATCTGTTTTGATATATTTGCTCCCATTTTAAATCTGCATGTCGATAATAATCAGTGAACAACAAATTCACAGTAGAAAGACATGGAATATTTTAAGACTCTTCATGAGCAAAGTAGGTCCAGACCCAAGGTCCAAAACCCAGCATAGAGCTGAGAGCTCCTGCAAGTCAAACCTGGGATTCTAACCCTGGCCCACACAGAAGGATTCTGAGGGAAACTGCAAAGCAAGTGAACACAGTAGGGTTTGGACATCTAAAAGCTATCTTGTCTGGGCTTTGGAACCTGACCTGGAGTGACCCTGTAGCAGCAATCCATTACTATTCCTTTTAGAAACTTAGAGGCTTTAAGTAGAACAGAAGCTCACTTTCCCAAAGCATATCAACAGCTATTTCTCGGCAAAGGACTCTATTAAAGGATCAAGTTTAACTTAGTATTCTGCAAGAATCTCTGTTTTAGAATTAGAATTGGAACAGACAAGCAGGGTTGTAGGAGTTATACAATGGCCAGAAGGGGGGGGACCCCTGAAGGAAAATGCATAAAACCTTTGGAGTAAGAGAAATGGCTAAGGGAAAAATCCCATTCACAGAATCCTTTCCCAAGTGGAGCGTCACGGTGATGGGCTGCAATACAGTGCAGCCTTCTCAATGTGACTTTGAAGGGGTGTGAAAGGAAACCGTTTTCTGGGATTCCATATGACCATATCCTTTGTTTCATTAGACAAAGGCAGCAGAAAGCTCAACTGCAGGCATTTTCTCACAATAAACTTGACAGAACTGCAGCAGGCCCAGGAAACAGACTACTGAAAACGGTATTGGCAGGGCTAACAGATCTGAGTAGTAAGCCATGCTGCTTCTTAAAAATGCCCAAATCCTGCTCGTGGTGAGTTGTTGGTAGTTTAATCACAGAGGGTGTTTGTAGTAGTAAGAGCGGAACTTGGAAACGTGAGTTCACACCTTGTTCTAGTATTACTGGAGCTTTAAACAAGTAGTTTATTCCTCGCTGCTTGGTTTCCCTGCCTTAAGACAGAAGACAAGCTCCCTCCTAACTCAATTCGCTAGAATGCACTAATATAGCTTTTCTAAGTTTTAAACCAGGCACAAAGTCTTTAGGAACCATTCATAGAATGCATGTAAGTCTTGGGGGCTCCTTCTTCTCTACACTTTCCTGTATGGAGAGGTTCTAAGACAATGGATTGGATGTCTAGCTAGGATTAGACCTGATTATTAGGTAAGGAAGTCAAAACACTTCACTCCCATGGGCCTCAATTTTGTCAATTACTAAACGGAAAAAATAATTCCCATTCCTACATCTCTTGTAGGACTACTGTAGGGCATGCACACTATTCACGCACGCTAGTATTTATATATGTTTATGTTGAGACCCTGCCTTCTCTCAAAAGGACTTTAATGTACCTTATTAAGGTGAGAAAAGAAAAAAAAAGGCAATATAAAATAAATTTAAAACAAGTTAAAAAATAGGAAAAGAAAATATGGTAAACAAAGTGGGATGGAGCTAGCAGTAAGCTTGGTACACAAATGCCTACCATAAAATCTTATATACTTGCTACAGGCAGGCCATACCTTTGGATCCAGTTTTTTAAGAGGCAACACAAAGAGGGAAAATAATCATTTACAAAATATAGTAACCATAATATATGAACAAACCAAATGATTTGGAAAAGTATAATTATTCCTGACATAGAGACCAAATAGAAAATTTTCCTTAGGATTTCTTATGAAGAAGACATTGAATAATGTAACAAAAATAGAGATGCATTTTATGGTGTTTGTACTCTATGTAAAATGTTCATCATGAATATTATTATTATTACTACTACTACTACTATAAGGTGAACAGGTATAGCTATGTCAGCTACCTGTCCAGTCTCTGTTTTTTCACTGCACCACTTTCCCAAATCAATCAGGCACTTATCCTGGAGGGCGGGATCTAGCTTAACATCCATGGCACGTTGGTGTAGGATTCTTTGAACTTCAGCTCGGCACTCCCGAGACAGCTACATAAGAGAGAATAAGCAAATTACTTTAAAAGTACCAGAACCAAGACAAAAAGACACTACATAAAGGAAATCTGTTGTCAGGAAACTAATAATGTTAGTTATTTGTACAAACTTTATACCCCCAATCTCGTCCAAAGTGAGGATTAAATCTTCTAGGAGGCTTCTACAAACCCATACCTCTAGGAAGGAGATCCTACATTCAACATTTTCTAATATACTGAATGAAACAACATCCTTTTCTCAGAGTATGTGGATAAAAAGTGAACTGGATTTATATTTTTTGTTTAGCATAACTAATCTGCTACTACCCCATGAATGTAGAGTAGAATACCAGCTCCTGTTCAGGAGAGAACATGCACTTGGGTCAGGAACACTGAATTCAAATTTACCTAAACTCTGAACAAGCCCAAAAGCCATCTGTATCCTGGTTAAGAGTTTCTAATGGATCTTTAAAGCTAAATGAAGTTAGGGCAGCAATATTTAGTTGTCTATTTGTCATTTAGATTTTAGTAATTTAAAGAAAACCTGGCAATGTCCCCTAACATTCTGTTGAAATACTTTGTTGAAAACGTAAAATCAGATGGAAAGCTGGTGAAGCAACTCTATGGACACTCACTGAATGAAGTTCCCAGAAGTACAGCAACCCTTCCCCGCCAGATACACTGATAAAGTTTCCTATGATGGCAGAAATCAGAACAATACACAGCAAACTAATTCAAAAAGGAATGGTTGACAAGAAGAAATGAAGTCAATATTGAGTGCATACCCTCCTGCCCTGTTCCTCAGTGCGGTAGGCGTGTCTATACAAGCAAGAGAACACAGCTCCAGGAGGCATAAGTTCACTGGTTTCATTCCAACCATGGGTGTGGCAAAGACGAGATGCATCTCCCTGGCACTTGCGGTATAAGACAGGGTCCAGCCTATAAGGTTAAGAGTTAAAAGATATTCCTGAACTTTGTTCTTCAGGAACACACAGTGGTCAATCGGTAGAAGTCTGGTGACTTTGGTGTAGAAGCTTTAAGTTCCACTTCAGGGAGGCCATGGTAGCTACATAAGATGCACAACATTACAGCAGACTGAGCACTAACATGCCCTGGCTGAAATGAGACAATGAGGCCTGTAGCTATCACCAGGCAGCTCACAACTCTTCACTCAATACTGTTTCTCTAAGAGTGAATGAAATTCAATTCTGTTATACGAGATTCAATAAGATCAGGAAATGGCAAGATAAACAGAATCTCCCACTTGACTTGCCTTCTAGTCAAACTGTTCTTCTTTGCCCATGCCAGGTAAGGCAGTCATGTTTTTAGTTTGCTTGAATATGCTTATTAACTTAAAAAAACTTGACATTTAACTTTGAACTCTGGAGACAATGGATTAAAGCAATGAGCCTGCTGCTTCTCCAGATCAGACCAATGGATGCTTAATTCTATCCACATCATAATGTCAACTTTGGGGGAGAGGTACTGAATGGAAGGAGAAAGGCTAACACTTAATGAGTAGCTTTTAAGCCTGTGAAGCATTTTTTGATCATGGGTGAAGGAGTTACAGAAGAGGAAATAAGATGATTTTGATTATAGCAATAAACTCAATAAACCCTGTTATTTTGGTTTAGATGGCCTGAGAAAGTACAGAGAAATTCCCACACAGTTTTCTTTAGTCCTTTCCAGAGCTAATTTGAGGGAACAGAAATAAAAATACATTGAATCTGGGGTGCCTGGGAGGCTCAGTCGGTTGAGTGCCCAACTCTTGGTTTAGGCTCAGGTCATGGTCTCAGGGTCATGAGATCGAGCCCCACAGTGGGCTCTGCACTCAGTGTGGAATCTGCCTGAGATTTTCTCCCTCTCCCTCTGCCGGTCCCCCTGCTCGTGTGCTCTCTCTCTCAAAATAAAAATAAATAAAATCTTAAAAAAAATACACTGAATCTTCTGAATCATCCCTTTCTAGTAAAGTATGTGAGTAATATATTCAATCACCAGAAAACTCCAGTGGTTAGGAAGCAGCTGAGCTTCCATGGAAGCAAGAGGAACAGCCAGCTTCCCAAGTGGCCGGGTACCGGCTGCTCTGCGGGTGGAAGGCAAACGAAAACATGGAAAGAGGAGGGCAGTGAAGCAAATAAGTTATAGTGATTCTGACTATAACACAGATCCTTCTCCTATTTCATCCCCACCCCTACCCCTGTTTTTGGCTAACAGTATGAGAAGAGAATTAGAGAATCAAGTTGTCATTTACTGATAAGAGCCTCTTAAGATAGAAAATTCAGTAACTTTGAATAGTTAAAGAAATAAAAACAAATTCCCATATCCAGTGCAAATCAGTAAAAATAAAAACGCACTATTATCTCTTAGAGACCTATCTGAAGATGTTTCTGCTGCCCCACAGGTGTCCAAGTTCTTTGAGGATGGATGTCTGTGGTATCAGAAACATGTGACTCTCACTTCCAAAGCTGTAGTGAATGGGGACACATGGGGCAGACCTGCAAGGGCTGCCTCAGCTTTTAGATACAATTCTGAAAGCAAGAAAGGTTCTTCAGGGGATTGGAGTGTGTCAGCCATCCCAGAACTTAAGAAAAACATGTTCTTACTGATTATTTCAAACCATAGAGGAGATCCTGACTAAACAGGAGAACAGGCTGAGGCTTACACTTGACTCTGGCTTCAAAATACTCACTTCCAATCTCGAGAGATGAAATACTGCAGTTCTAATAGACGGTGCTCACAATCTTCCACCATTTTCTCTGTGTATAAGTGTTCCATCAAGCATGAGAGGATCCTGGGCATAAAACAGGGATGAAATTCTAACAACGGGTTTGGAACTCTCACATCAGTAGTATTTCCTTGGTCTGTAGAAAAAGCCCTTGAGCTATTTTTGAGGGCAGTTGGGGATTTAATTCTCTGAGAATAATTCAAATTAACAGTCTGATAGTGACTATGCCTTCTCTCAACTTCAGGGCCACACGGCGCTTGGGACTTGGCTTGCCTAAGATCTGTGTGCAGTTGCTTTATTTTTAACTGTTTATTAGAAAAATTTTCCAACACATACAAAAGTACAGAATCCTAATAGCCACCTTCCCTTCCCATAGCTTTATCAACCTATGGCCAAGTTTGTTTTAATTCTACACCCCCCCTTGTTGATATTTTGAAGCAAATCCCAGATACCATATCATTTTCTTCATAAATTCTTGAGCATGTTTCTCTACAAAGACATAATACCATAATCCACCAAAAGAAATTAATTTTAAAAATCCTTAATGTCATGTGATATCCTATTAGTTTTCAAATTTTTTTTGCAATTATCTTACGCCTTTTTATATGTTCGTTCAAACCAGGACCCAGAAAAGGTCCACACACTGCATTTGATTGATAGTATCTTCAAATGATTTTCAGCTGTAGCAGTTCTCCCCTTCCCTCCCTCACCCCTGACCCCTCATGCTTGATGCAGTTATTTTTATATTGGTAAATATTCTTAATTAGTCTTCACTGTGTTTGTCTATCTTCTCCAACTGCACAAAAAGCTTTAAAGAAGAATACCTTTTTTTAACCCCCTGCCACAGCATGAACAGCAGGAGTATATGCATAGCAGCATGATGACAAACATCAACTGCATTCATTTTATTGTTGGGTACTGCCGGCTGCAGGCTATAAAGATTTCTGCAGAATGGGAAACCTGTTCTTTACTTGCAACCTGGTTTTAAGAGCTGTTTGTGCATCATATGGAATAAAACTACTGCATGAGATTCAAATACTTTATTATAGCATTTTATAGCTTTCCTAAATCTTGGGTGCAACTTCAGAGTTCATTTTGTCCATGATTACATCCTCCAACCACAACATTTGTTTTTTCTTTCAACATAATTAATGAATTTTTAATAATGATCAAGTAGCCAATGTGGCTAATGAGTCAATACACAAATAGGATGAAAGTATAGAGACAAAGTATGTGTCACTTTATCCTGAGAGTTTCTCTCTCTTGTTTTTTATTTGACCATTAAATGGAATTAATCAGTGACCTAATGTACAGGCCCATACATGCTTAGTCACAGTCATCACAAAGCTGGGTCTAGGTATCTACATCATGGATGAGGCAGAGCCGAGGTCTCAATTCCAATATTAGTTTTAACAAAAGTTGCTATGTTCTGTTTATCACAATTTTAGTTAAGATGTTAAAACCATCCAAAAGTCATTTCAAGGAATGTTCCCAATGCTACACTGCCAAATAAAATACAATATGAATCAATACCCCAAATAAGATAACCTACATTGGGTCTCCCGATCTTATGTGTTTGCAGGCTGTCTGTATTACAGATTCACAAGCTTCATTCAGGGCTCTATCAATGCGGTAATCTGCACCAGGGTCAGTCTCCTGAATCAGTGTTTGCAGCTGGATTTTAAAAAAATTAAGAAAGGAGAAAGTCACTTATACATCAGGGAAGAGTAATGTCATCTCTTCAAATAATTACTCAGTCTGGTACATCACAGTGGACTTTTAACAAGGTACTACAATTGTCACTGGCCAAGCTCAAGAGCTCCTGCCAAATACTTTCCAAATGGTTTCTCTGTCTTGAGTGCACGTTCTTCTGTTTTAGCCATGGTGGGGGATTGCTTGCCTACCTGTCTGGACCATCCCTGGACATTTGCAAAGCAAAAGGTCTTTACAATATAAAGGCTGTCTTTTCCTTCATGTCTGCCTGATTGTTAATCAGATTGCTAAATCTGACACGGCCAAGTCAGAATTGAGTGGAGAAGGGTAAATAGAAGACATTTCCAGTTAGAAACCTATTTGGGGGGCACCTGGGTGGCTCAGTCGTTAAGCGTCTACCTTCGGCTCAGGTCATGATCCCGGGGTCCTGGGATCGAGCCCCCGCATCAGGCTCCCTGCTCAGCGGGAAGCCTGCTTCTCCCTCTCCCACTCCCCCTGCTTGTGTTCCCTCTCTCGCTGTGTCTCTGTCAGATAAATAAATAAAATATTAAAAAAAAAAAAAAAGCAAGAAACCTATTTGGGTCATTAAGAATCTAGAATTTGAATTTTGATGCCAATACATTGGCATTAAAACAAGCATGCTCCAAGTTATTAAAAACAGAAGAGAGATTTCATTTAACTTGAAAGAAATATCAATTACAAAAACCAAGAATACAATACTTATAACTCCCATTTTTCCTCAATTATCTTTTATACAACCAAGAGGTAAACCACAGCTTGCTCGTTATATATATCCAGAAAAATACTTGTCATCATGCAGTTGAAAATGAGGGTATTTTCTTTAACATTTATTTCTGCTTGATCCATCCTGTGTCCATGGAACAAAGTCAAAGCATGAGAAGACGTGCCTCTTTTCTCCTGTCTTTGAGGAGAAAGCAGCTGGGGCACAGAAGAAAAAGCTCTAAATTAAGGATCAGAAGACCTGAGTTCTATTAATAGTTCTGGCTCTGCCAGATATTAGCTCTGAGAACATGGGCATGATTAACCTCTAGCTGCAGTTTCTTGAAATGAATAGGATTACAAGAAAGAGTAATATACAGGAGAAGGTTGTATAAATAGCAAAGCATTCTATGTATTAAAAGATCATTATTAGTACAGATGGATAGCAGATGTTTTGGGGTGGGAATCTTAAATATCAGAAAGCAAATTTGGAAACTATAATCTTTCTGGTTTGGGTTCCCTTTTTTCCAAGTTAAAGAACTGGAGCCCTCTTTTTGTGTCACAGATTTAGCCTCTGGAGGAGAGCCTTCTCTGATCCTCATACACGTGACCTACAATCCCACAGGGGCTCATATGAAAGCAATGACCCCATCACACATTGATCAGAGCACACACATCAAGAGGAAATGAAAAAAGAAAATCCCAATTCTGTCTATCCGAAAATCAACAATCAAGATGAGAGAAACAGAAAAGATTTCCAGTATTCTGGGATGGAAGTTATTTATACCAATTCTTGATGGCAATTTGGAGAAGCTACAAAATGCTGTGGTTAGTTGATAGATCACTACCAGTTTTAGTAATGACGCTTGCTGACAAAGACCAAAATATTTACACCTTCTTCTGAGGGAAGTTATAAGTATCATGGGAATCTGGAACTCTCTGCAAGAAGTGTATTTGTTAAATATCTACAAGTGACAGGCAAACTTTGAGAATTCACAATGAATGCACCAGACTGCAGCTCCTAAAAGGAGACAGTGAATGCCCTACAGACTCCTGTGGGCTAACAGCTCAAGGGATCATTGCCGCTCTGGAATCCAGGGACAGCAGTGTAGGAAATAAACACTAAGAACATGAATTGCCACATGATTGTATATTCATTCCAGCCCCTGACTGCTCAGGAAAAACCTGGGGAAATGCTTCTGACAAACAATCAGTCTAGAGAATACACTGCACAGTCATCTTTGGTCAGAGAGAGACTGGGCCCAGAGGCGCTCAGTCATAACTGAAAAGAATTTAATAAGTTCATGATTATGGTACAACTGTAAAAGTATGTACTCATTAAGATAAAAATTATCCACATGTTTCACAGTTTACTATTTGTTGAGAGATCACGGAGTCAAAGCATCACCAAGCAGAGAATGGGGAAAATCAGAGGCCAACCACAGACAGGCATGGAAGCTTACTCTATCAAGGAAGCGAACTTTGAAAAAGAAAGAAAGAAACCTACTCAAAATAAATTATTTCAAAACATTCTTCCACTTGATTGAGGATGGATAATGTAGTGGAAGAAGACTAAGGAAAATATTCTCCATTTGGATCATTTACTTCTTCAATATTTGTGAGCAAAGACTAAAAAAAATAAAGTGTTTATTTCCCAGTTGGCTAAACTTAATTAATGTGGGCAAAACCACGTACTTCATTATTTGAGATTAATCTCTAGGTTTAGAACCCACTTTTCTTCTAGGCAAAAGGATGAGATGGGTGGTCCTTATTTATCTTTCAAGTTGACTCACTAGTTCTTTTTAACAAGCTAAATTTTAAAAAGCCCTGGAGGTAGATGCCGTCAAATAGTTAAACCAATTTCTCCTCTTTTTTCTGTACACCTTGGTAAAAGTGTAGCCTCAGTAAAAAGACAGTTTTATTCATGACCACCTCCCTCTCCTTTACATGCTGCATTAAAGTATGAGATGCAAATATGGCTGTCTTGATTCATTCTTGGTCTGAGGCCCATACATATTATCACAGAGGTTTCCTAGGGTAATCACCAGCAAGGACTGCTCCTGAGGAACTACACTGTGCCAACTAAAGCCACAGCAGATTCCAGAAGCCTTCCTTCTAGCTGGGTTTGGGATTTTGGAGAAGAGCCTACTTATTTCTCCACTTCCTCCACCACAGGATGTAAAATTTACTGTCTACTCTGGGTCAGGGTGAGTAACAGGAGCTAAGATGAAATTTTACTCCATATCAAAATTCAATGGGAATTTTGTTTCAGACTGTAAAATTGTGATTTTCTGAAATACTCAATTTTTAACAAAAATGCCAACAAAATAAAAGACCAACTGAATTGTGGTTTTCTAAACTTTCTGAAAAAAGAACCTCAACTTCCTAATTTAGGATACAAAACCAAATGATATCTTTTGTGCATTCTAAGGGATGTATGGAGTACACTTTACAGGGTACCAATGTTGCATTTGGTACTGAGAATTGTTCAAGGACTCTTATTCAGTAAAAAGCAATAAATATGGACAATGGTAATGAAACAGATGCGCTGCATCTATAGTATTTTGTTAACTGTATATTATGTCCCTGATCTGTAGTTATTCAAACTGTTCATGAACCCTGGAGCAAGAATAACTTTATCTTTAAAAAAAAAGAAAAAAGAAAAAAAATAACTTTATCTTCCCAAGAAGTACACTAATTTTTTCCAAATATCTTTATAGAACTGACGGTAGAGTTTGGGGACAGAGAAAGAAAGGCCCTTCCATGCATAGTTGCCCTACTGTAACAAGACAGATGGTGTGATTTTGAAAATGACATGCTCTCTTGATCCTTCAGGCCAGGAATTCATGGTATGCTGCACATCAGTAATAAAAAGAAACTCTTAGAAAATTTCAATTCGTTACAGCTCTCTTTCAGCCTCAACTCAATCAAATCCATAGAGATAGGCAAATCCTCTTTTGGTAGAGGACGTTTTCTGTTTTACCATGACCTGGTTCACCTTCGTTCTGAGTTTAGAAATTCCATCTAGCAAGTTATCTTTCCTTTAAAAACTCTAGCAGACAATGCATTTGATCTATTTCTTTAAGTACAAAGCTCCATTTATTGTTTATGAATTCAAACTTCTGCTCTGTAATAAATTCCACGTTCTTACTAAGATATGCTTGAACAATATTCTGTGTCTGGTTCTTAGTACCCAATGTTCATGTGATGTCACAAATGATCCAGATGATAAAGGAAGCTGGGACAGTGTCAGGAAGAGGCTCCTCAGCTGATAGTATGTAACATTCAAAATGGCAGTAGAAAAGTTTTCCTTACCGCCTGCTGGCAGTTCATTCCGAGGTTCCCTTTTTCCCCACGAACTACTTTCATTAGACAATGCAGAGTTCGCCCTTTTCGATGTAATCCAGAACAGTGGTGTTCAATCTCCCCCCGACAGCTCAGGATGATCTCAGGGCTCAAAGAAAAGTCTTCCATCAACATGCGCCGGTAATCTAACATCTCCCCCTGGCACTCACTGCTTACTTGGCGCCCTAAGTTAGGATTTAAGTCACAACATTATGGATGGTGAGCATTACAATCAGATATCACCACATATAAAAGTACACGTTTTCCTCTAGAATATAATATACCAGTCATGCTATTATCTAGACTGAAAAGCTTAGAATACAGAAAGAGCTTTAAGAGTTTAAGACTTCAGAGACTAGGGTTTATCTGGACAGTGTTCTGCATTATATAGATTTTATACTACTAAACCAATAATGCAAATGCTGTACCAATGGAAGTCTTATCAATAAGATAATTATGGGGTAACAATGAAAGCCAAGAACAGTCCCTACTGGCCTACAGAGTTAAAGCCTGTGAAAAAGACCACATTTCAAATATTCACGATAGCCTCCCTAGCCTCCTTCCTTGAGCTAAAAATGCCAACTGGGAAAACCCAATAAATTTTTTTTTAAAGATTTTATTTATTTATTTGACAGAGAGAGACACAGCGAGAGAGGGAACACAACCAGGGGGAACGGGAGAGGGATAAGAAGGCTTCCCGTGGAACAGGGAGCCTGATGCGGGGCTCGGTCCCAGGACCCCAGGATCATGACCTGAGTCGAAGGCAGACGCTCAACAAATGAGTCACCCAGGTGCCCCAAGAAATTTTTTTAAAAAACAGCTTTACCGAGGTGTAATTAACATAAAATAGACTATATTTTTAAAGCATACAACTGGGGAAGTTTGACATATGTGTACGTTGTTGAAACCATCACCACAATCAAGATAGTGAAGATTTCCATTAACTCCAAGAGTTTCTCATGGTCCTTGAGAATCTCTCTCTCCCTTTCCACCCCACACCCCTCCCACATCAACCTATGATCTGCTTTCTGTGACTACAGATTAGTTTACCAGTTTCCACTTTTTAGAAGTTGATATAAACAGTCATACAGTATGCACTTTTTTGGTCTAACTTCTTTCACCCAGTGTAACTATTTTTAAATTCATCCATGTATCAACAATTCATTCCTTTTTATTGTCAAGTAATATGATTCCATTATGTGGATATACTACAATGTGCTTATCCCTTCAACTGTTGATGGACATTTGGGTCATTTCCAGTTTTGGGCTATTACAAATAAAGCTGTTATGAACATTCATGTATAAGAGTTTATATGCATATATGCTTTCATATCTCTTAGGTAAATATGGCTGGGTCATATGGTAGATGTATATTTAACTTTCAAGAAACTGGCAAACTATTTTCCAAAATGGTTGTACTATTTTAACTTCCCATCAGCAGTGTTCAATAGTCCAGTTCTTCCATACCCTTATCAACACTTAATACGGTCAGTCTTTTTAACATTAGCAATCTGTGTAACTTTTCTAAATTATCTGCACATAGCCTTTGGCCGTGTATTTACAGTCTTTCTTTTCTTGTTAATTTGCAGTTTAAGAACATTAACTCTTTTTTTTAAATACCCAAATTAGATGATATTATGTATACCATTTTACAATATTCTTTTACAAGTCAATAATCTCTACTTTTCCATTTTTGGACAATTTTATCTAATATCCAGACCATAATCAACATTCTCCAATTGTCTCCAAAATGTCCTTTGTTTGGTATTCAAGACCATGCACTGTCCCTGGGTGTTATTCCATTGCTTTCAAGCTTAGGAGTTTTTCCCACTATCCAGATATGAAAAAAAAAATTCATCAAAATTTGTTTTATTTAATGATTTTTTTTCCACTTAACTTTTTAATCACTAGCCAATTGTCTCTGGGCATTTCATTTTTACAGCTTATAGCCAATATTAAGAAAGACAACCCTGATCTTCTATACAGCCGATCTTGGTTCTTTTGTCAGGGGTTGACTTTTGGACTCAAAAGTTTCTATTTAGTTTCCTAATATCATCAGTATTATTAAGAATAACAGTACCTATCACTTATTTAATGCTAAGTGCTATTCCAAATAACCTCATTCAATCCTCATAAGAATTCCTCACTATAAATATTATTTTTGTTTTATAGATAAGAAAAATGAGTTTGGGGAGAGATTAAGAAATGTAAACAATGGCCACCCAGCCAGTTAATTTGATGATACAGCCAGCCATTAATTTAAAGCCCTATCTCTCTGACCCAAAGCTCATATGTTAAATCATTATGCTACCCTGACTCTGCTAAAAATGTTGACTACGCATTTTAAAAAATTAAAATGAGTGGATTTGAGAAATATACCTTACTTAAAAAAAAAAAATGCGGCACCGGAGTGGCTCAGTCAGTTAAGTGTGTGCCTCCGGCTCAGGTTATGATCCCGGAGTCCCAGGATCAAGCCCCACCTTGGGTTTCCTGCTCAGCAGGGAGTCTGCTTCTCCCTCTGCTTCTCCCCCTGCTCCTCCTCTCTCTCTCGCGCTCACTCTCTTTCTCTCAAATAAAGAAATAAAAAAAACAAAACAAAACTGGAGATTGTTGAGCTAAGAGAAAGAGCCTTTAACAAGGCTTTGGGACACCAAGCCTTCAGTTCCTGGAATTATGCTTAAAGAAAGGTTCCCAAGTTGCAAGGCCCAGGTGCGCTCAAAAGAGCAAATGCAGGAGGAAAAGAACATCTCTAGGTACAAGAGGCTTTAGAATATACATCCGAAAAGGACTGAAAAGGGTAAAAAGAAAGGAACTCTTACCTCTATGCACAGCTGACTCCAGACACATGAGAAGGTAGGAGAGCCTGGCTTCCCGGGACCGCGGAAGGTTTTCCACATTACACCGGTATTTCTTCAGGTCACTCTTACAGGATTTCGCCAACGAATAACTGACTTTGTAATCCTGGGCAATCAGCTTTTGGCGGGTCGTCAGTGCTTCTCGACACTGAATAAGGAGTGCAACAGAATTGTAAGACTACTCAGGTGGTTCTGCTGTTCACAGGGGCCTCTAAGACCAGCAGAGGCTCGTGGCCAAGTATATGTCAACAACTCCAGCCGTCACCAAAACGCCTACCTTGAAATTCGTTTAGACTCGAACACAGTATGTGTCCGTGTGTTAGTGCTGTGTTAGTTTGTGCGAAACTAGTGTGGGAAGAGGTAAGGCTGAAGGGCTGGCAAAGGCCTGGGGTCCTACCCTGAGCGGCTGACGGCTGCTGCAATAGCACAGCTGCCGTCCTACGCCCCCGAGTCCTTGGTGGGCTCCGGTACAGCGGCCTGACCAAGTTCTCCTCCACAATGTCCCTCAAGCCAGGTTCAGCTGACATAACACCCTGTGTTATGCTGTGTTACAGCCTACAGGATTATTCAGTAGTAAATGATAGAAGCAACTGAAATGAAACATTTCTTCAGCTGCACAGGAAAGTAAATGGCAGGAGAGCACAACCGAGAGTAATTTTCTTTTTTAAAGATTTTTATTTATTCATTTATTTGAGACAGAGAGAATGAGAGAGACAGAGAGCACATGAGAAGGGGGAGGGTCAGAGGGAGAAGCAGACTCCCTGCCGAGCAGGGAGCCTGATGCGGGACTCGATCCAGGGACTCCAGGATCATGACCTGAGCCGAAGGCAGTCGCTTAACCAACTGAGCCACCCAGGCGCCCGAGAGTAATTTTCTTTTTAAAAGTCATAAAAGATGCCTGCATTCATCCAGGGACAGAGGACTAATAGTACTGAGAATGCTTAATGAGACAACTACTGAAAAATTAAATAGGTCATTACCTGCAAAGCACACTGGTTTGGTTGGCCTAAGCTTCCTGAGTATGCAGGGCTGGCTTCAGTGTGACTATGATACACAATTCTCCAATTTTACTCCCCAAATTGATTCCCAATTGGCTTCCCAATGTCTAGATATCACAAAGCTTCATTTTCTTGGCTTAAGCAAAATATGCTTTGGTTCTCTAACTAAAAGCCAAGTGTCTTGCCTCTGAAAAGGGTAAGCTTTATCAGTCATTTATATTCTGATATGAATTTATAAGAATATTGTTTGAGAGGATTTAAAAAAACTTTAAAGAAATGAGTAAAATATTGGTTTGTTTCAAAGTAATACTTACCTTCTCACTCATGGATTCTTCAAACTTATGGTTAAAGAGGCATTTATACACTCTGCCTTCCCCAGCTTGCGTCTGTAAGATGGAACATACACACGATGATGAGGATGACGACAATTAGCTAAGTAGTTATGCTGGGCACTATCCACAATTTTACACAGAACTTTCTTTAAATCATTATAAATGTGAGCACCTTTGAACAAATGGCTCAGCCATTTATAACATTTAGTAGCCTTTGGAAGAAAACAGTGATCGCAGGAAAGATGAAAAAAATTTTCCCATGATGCTTGGCTATTGTCATTTGTTCCCAGATACACTATTACTCAGGGAACCAAGAGAAGTGTCTGTGAGTCTTTTCTTACGACTTTATGTTGGAGTCAACAAAACTCATAATCAGTGGCTCTGATGGTTAAAGCTGCTAATTCAAAACAGCAGAGGGTGGGAGTATACACAAGTTACTCTCAGTTCTTTGTTGTAAGGATGGAGATAATTCTATTTAAAGTGTTAGCAAGTCTTCTGTAAGGTCTGCAGATAGTAATCAAGGATTTAGTTTTAAAAGTTAGCCACCTGCTGTTTTATTCATCTTAGCCAAAAACATAAAACATGTAATATGGCAGTTTTAGACATGGAATAGGTGTGATTAGGATTCCCTGGTAAAACAGGATTCCTGCATATAAATAACATAGACTTCCAAGAACTAAAATTGAAAAGTGAGATAAAGTAGAAAAAATAATGTGTGGAGACTGTCAGAAGCCTACTGTTAACTAGATGTTAAATCATCAAGGCTGAACATCTAACATCATTCTCTGTTTTCCTGGGAACAACTCCGCCTTCCATTTCACTGCCTTATCTACATGGGAGAGTGTGCTGGTTTATTTTATTTCGGACTAGAGTATTAGAAAATACTTCAAAGGAGAAGAACAGCTTCTGAGCTGACTTACGTTTTCACAAAAACGCTCCCGATCATCTCGGCAAGCAAAATATAAATGCCGGTCTAGATGAAAGTCATCTGAGGACAGCTCAGCTACCCGCAGAATGGCTTTCTTGCAGAGTTCAGAGACTTGAATCTTGGGATCTCTCTCTTCTGCTTCCTTCACCAGGCCCTTTTCCAAACATGATACCACCTCACCTTGTGAATGTGCATCCTAAAATAGCAAGGGTACTAATATTGTAAAACTCTCACCACAATGAGTTTTAAATAAACATCATTTGCTTAAAAAAAAAATAAAAACAAACCAAAAAAACCCCCTCAATTCAATATATAGTTGGCTTATTGACAGTCTGCTGAGAAATTAGGTGGGAACCAACCACACTGTGGAAGTTACAGAAAATGTCCTCAACGATCTTCTGTTAGAACAGAATACTTGCATGCTACAAATGGAAAGAGAGATCCTGGGAGATTTAAATATAGTTTAGTTAGCACTAGAAATAGAAACCTGAATTCTTTGTTTAAATGTCAGAAAAATTTTAAGAATTTACATCAGCCCAATGCTCTGATCATGGTTCGTATCAATACTGAATTAACACTGCAGAAATCTGTTTACTGACCTCAAAGGGTGAGAGGTATTTCCCCAATAATAACGCTTTTATTCATGTTAAAAAAAACAACCCCAAATCCACTGAGAAAAGATGTCACAGAGACCCTCTTTCTTCATTTTTCTACTCCATACTGTCCACAAAAACCCCAATATGTACAATTTGTATTGTAATACTCACTTTGATGTTTTGGATTTATCTTAATACGATTTAATGAGATTACCACCCTTTATACAAACTGAGTTTGAGAGCTTTCCTAAAACCATCCAATTATCTTTAATTGTACATTGTATCATCCCCGTAGCAACCACAAGCATTCATTCACTCAAAATATGAGAAATTTCCCCTAAATATTTCTATTCAAGAGTCCCAATCTGCTATACCCAGAAGACATGCTTCAAAAACTTGAGAGGTATAACTATAAATACAGCAAACCAAAGCAGCAGAAGTACACGCTATCTCTTATTTACACACACACACAAAATCTTGTTATAGTAAAATACGGTGTCTATGAAATCATCTGTATGTAATAAAAAGATTCCTGAAACCAGGAAGGGAAACATCTGATTTTTTTTTTTTTTTAAAGATTTTATTTATTTGTCAGAGAGCAAGCGAACAAGCACAAGCAGGGAGAGCGGCAGGCAGAGGGAGAAGCAGGCTCTCCGCTGAGCAAGGAGCCCGATGCGGGGCTCGATCCCAGGACTCTGGGATCATGACCTGAGCTGAAGGCAGACGCTTAACCGGCTGAGCCACACAGGAGTCCCGGGAAACATCTACCTTAAGCAAAATTTCAACAATAACAAAAATTGTATACAGTTTTTTTCCTAAACTTTGTTGTAATGCAATTTGTTTAATAGCACATTCATTTCTAAGTATTTCCATGAAAACGTCCATGTTCTCTCCTATGATACCTGTGGAGAGGAGATAAAAGCTGTGGCATCTCTTGTGCAGAAGAGTAAACACAGGCCTAGAGGAGTTTATCAACTCGTCTTGGGTTGCAGAGAGTAAGGTGCCCAGCTAACAGTCCATCATTTATTTTTCTAGATCTTGGGGATCTAGGACACTCTTAAAATTTGTATGTGGGTGTTATTTATTCTCCTGAGAAGGGTTCACAGTTTTCATTAAATTTTCAAAATTTTGCTGACCCAAAAAAGGTTAGGAAGAACACTCTCCTAGCAGATTCTCATACCTCCTCTTCTCTATCTGTACCTGAACCTTGAACACTAGTTGTATGATTCTAAATGCATAAAAACCTGAGAGGACCATAAAGGTTTTTTGGAGGGCAATTCTGAATTACATAAACAAACTCTGGGGCGCCTGGGTGGCTCCCTCAGTTAAGCGGCTGCCTTTGGCTCAGGTCATGATGCCAGGGTCCTGGGATCGAGCCCCGCATGGGGATCCTTGCTCAGAGGGAGCCTGCTTCTCCCTCTGCCTGCTCTGCCTGCCGCTCCCCCCTGCTTGCGCGCTCTCTCTCTGACAAATAAATAAAATCTTAAAAAAAAAAAGATACATAGACTTTGAGAGACAAGTGACAAAAAGATAAGGACAGAGAGAAGAGTCGACACAAACCTTAGAATTCCAGAATAAGGCTTATTTTTTCTTCCTAATTTAATGAGTGACACTCAAGTTTGTCTGACTATGGCCCACTTAGGCGAGGCCTACCCATTTCCATTTCCCAAAGGAAAAACAAACCTATGATAACAAACATTTCAATAGAAACATATCAGACACTTACTATTTACAGTATACAAGAGATTATTATAAACATGATCCTAGTTTATAAAACAACATCCTATACCAAAGTTTAGTAGTCCATGATAACTTACTTAGATGGCTGTTAGCAATAATATAAAAGGGGTTGAAAATAATAATATGATAGTCAATTCTTGATTTAGATTTAGCCTTTAGTCCTGGAATCACAGGGTAAAGAAATGATTTCCATGTAATGAGTCTAAGTGTTTCCCTGTATACTTAGGGTCTTTAACTGTTTTAATTGTACCACCAGTAAGATTATCTACTTAGGGCTATTATATTTCTTAACGGTTCCATTTGCTTCTTCTTGGATTTAAATAAAGGCAGCATCATCGTGGCTTGAGATCCCCTCAGGAATCTGAGATTTAATTATAATTACAGCAATTGTAGCACCACATATTGGTGCTGGGCCATATCATCATCTCCATTAGATGTTTTCATTCATCCTAACTTTAATTTTTTCAAATAACTGTATTTGAGGTAATCTTCTCAGTTTCCTCAAGTCTGAGCATTTTCAGTTCAGCCCATTTTAGTTATATAACTGAAATGTATACAAATATTTGACAAAGAATACTGTATGCTAATTACTGAATAAGAATGAAATCAAGGGAGGTAAACTACACACTAGCACACCATCTACAGGAAAATAAAATTACTTAGGGTTAAAAAAGGGTAAGTTAGGGGCGCCTGGGTGGCTCAGTCGGTTAAGCAGCTGCCTTCGGCTCAGGTCATGATCCCAGAGTCCTGGGATCGAGCCCCACGTTGGGCTCCCTGCTCAGTGGAGAGGCTGCTTCTCCCTCTCCCACTGCCTGCCTCTCTGCCTACTTGTGCTCCCTCTCTCTCTCTGTCAAATAAATAAAATCTTAAAAAAAAAAAAAGGGTAAGTTATTAATACATAGGCTTGACATAGGAATAACAAATGATCCTGTAAATGAACTTAAAATGGATTTCTACCATGGCGAGATAAATGTCTTAAAACTACTAACAGTCCTGATCAGTTTTTAGCAATTTGATAGGCAGTATCTTTTATTCCCCATAAACCTTGTCCTTTTTTCTTTTTAAGAAGAGAAAAATGACACTAATCTCAAAAAGGAAGAACTCAGTTTTCATCTCTGCTATAAACCACTCTCTAATTCGATGTTTTTTGTGTCTTCTGTGATCTTCCTCACTACACAGAGAAAAAGACTGACCAAATTATTCAAAGTAGGTGGTTAAAAGCAGGGAATGGTAAAATTATATTAACTACCAAGTGAAAAGTCTAAAAGTAGTAATAATGTGGCACACATCCACAATTAAGTTCCTGTACTGGATCGCACACTGTACTTTTTCTTCAGATGATGTAAATTATTTACACTTTTACGTTTGAAGATCTGTCCTTTCATTTTAACTATATTTATTTAGAAAAATTTTTATTAGGGGCGCCGGGGTGGCTCAGTCGGTTAAGCGGCCTTCGACTCAGGTCGTGATCCTGGAGTTCCGGGATCAAGTCCCGCATCGGGCTCCCTGCTCAGCGGGGAGTTTGCTTCTCCCTCTGACCCTCCCCCCTCTCATGTGCTCTCTCTCTCTCAAAAAAATAAAATCTTTAAAAAAAAAAAAAAATTAGAAAAATTTTTATTAATATAGTCTTTGTTCTCAAATTTACATATATTAACATTTTGAAAGAAAATCAGTTTTGACATATGACTCTTCTACATTCATACAGAGGCAGGGTACAAACAGATGAACCATTACCCTGATCCTCTGACCTTTGGAGGAAGTCAGTTCAAAGGCAGTCACAGAGAGAGTCTGCAAGCTTCAGTGGCAGATTTGAAATCGACAAGCCAGAAGCTGATTCATTAATTTTTAGGATAATTTGCATATCTAAATAACTGGCCCCAGAGAAATGAACTATAGTTAGAAAAGGCAAGAAGGGCTGAGGACATGCCTCCCTCATTTTTAAACTTGGCTGTAGCACCAGAGTGGATTATATAGGAAGGAACATGCTTTTTGAAGAGTGCAAGCATGAATCTATCTTCTTGTACCCAAAATACAGAAAGCCCCAGGATAGGGGCCTGGTATAAACAGAAGTTCACCTAACCGGGAGGTAGAGCAAAAGATAAACATGACAAAAATGTGCGTTTTGATGGTCCATAGAAACATTTTTTTTGTTGTTATTTTACAAAGCTGGGCAAACAATCCTCATCATCCGGTTCTCCGGCTCTAGTGCTACTGTTTTCTGTGATTATTTCAGGCACTAAGATTTAATGACTCAAACACGCAGTTGAAAGCAGGTTTTATACTGACAATTCAGATTGCTAGTGGGAAGCTAACCAGCAATTATCTTGGTGTCAACAGGGAAAAACTACTATAAAAAGAGGTGAATTGTAATGGTCTACTCTACAGTGTAGACCACTAATCACAAATACGGAAAAGTGTCATCACTGATTCCTAAAAAAAAATGTGTCTGGAACACTTATGTGAAGCTTTTAAAAAGAGCGAGATATGGAATTGGACATGATCTCTAACACCCTAAATAAAGTCAGAAGAGCTTCCTGAATTATTAGGGTAGCTTAAGCTTTTGTGCCATTTTTAGAGTCTGCAGGGAAGGAAGAAATCTGCCTTCTTTATTAAAACTGGCCTTTCTTTAGCTGCCAAAAGCTCTATGCCAAGTTCACAGTGCTCTCAAGACTGACTCAGAGGTGCCCTGTGAAAGGGCCAGAGCCCTGTGCTGGTATGAAAGAAAGGGTATTTGGTGACAGGCAGACAATACCCAGCCCTAAAATCGTCATCTGAACTGGTGTGTGCAGTTCCAGCATTCCAACATCATGCCCCCCACCCTATGTCAGTGACAGAAGCCGGCAAACCATGGGGCAATGAACAAATAAGAGGACAAAGGGACAAAAAGGTTTTATTTCCCATCATATTTCCTAAAGAGCAGATTAATGAGCAGTGGCAACTAATAGCTGATGTCAGACATATGCCTCAGACCACCTCTCCCCCAGCATCTGTTACTTCTCAGGAGTTTATTTCATTTTGCTGCGCCAACAAATTCAGAATAAACCTGGCCAAACCTCCATTGTGAGCTTTTGGACAACAGACTCACAAGAACAAAAATAAGACCACACATAATTAAGAAAGAAGTCGTCAGCTAGGTAGTTATTTTCCTTCTTGTCTCTACTAAAACTAGTTCTTCCGAAATAAAGATATAGCAATAGATCACATTTATAGAGTACCTTTCTTCTCACAAGCCAGAAGTACCTTCACATATCTTAAACTTTTCTAATATTTAAATATCTTCTTTTATACCAGTGTGTTTACTAAGTAATTTTTTTATAGCAGCAATGAGGTATATGCAGAGAAAGGTTAGACAAGTTAAGGCTCTCCTACTCCAACTACTTTGCCCACAAGACAACAAAATGCTTTGCCAGGGAACGCTATAGGTAACAAGCAACTGGTTTAGTATTTTGAAGATGACACTTCTCTTGGCTGATATTGATTCTTCTGCTTTCCCAGACAGTACTGAAACACTACAAACAGATGAAATGTATTCACGGGTCAACTAGCCTTACATCTTGGGGCTGTCTGGACCTCCACTTTAAGGCCATCTCCAGCCCTAAATTTTTCCCATGCCAGTTATACAAAACTTTTCTTTCATCAAGTTCGTAGGACCCCTTTGGTGAAGCCGGTATAAATATAATAGATACCTTTTCTCCAAGCCGAATGCTGCCACATTTCAGAATGTTGATGTCATTTTTGCAGTCATCCATGAAGCCACAGATTAGACGGTAATCACTGAAAATGATGGCCGTCATCTTGGTGATATACTGGTGACACTGGTACTCAGTGATGTTGCCTCGGTGATCCACCAAGCAGGAAACCAAGTAACCTTTCCCAACTGGTTCATCAGCACATTCTTTAATCTGCTCCAAAGAAAGTGGCTGTTTTACACAAGTATTTTATTCTCCTACCAAACAACTTTTACAAAAGAGAATGTCTGGTATTTTCTTATTGACTTCCCATCTATATTTAGAAGAAAAAGAGGAACACTTACAAACACATTTGTTATAAAGAAAATAGTGTCATGCCTACTCAGATTGTTGTGGTGTCTAGGATATATCTGATTAATGTGTTTGGCAACAATTTTTAAAAATTTCAGCTTTACTGAAATATAATTTTAAAAAGCTTTTAACATCTACAGCTTTAGAATGGTTCTACTGAAAAGTCCCTTTATCCACGCAAAGAACGCAATGGACAGTGAGGAGATTAATCTAGGAAACAGTTCTGGAAAACAGGTGCAGAACTGAAGTCTAGTGGCATGTCCCAAGCCAAGCTACACAACAAATTATTATTGTTAGGTAAACCTAATGGCCAAAAGAAGGGAGGCGGGAAGGCATAATATTACTTCTTGACATGACATTAATATGCTCTGAATTAACTGTGGATTTGGACATGTGTTTTTGAACTTAGTAGAATCCCCAGCTTCACCACTGTGGTCTGGAACAGAAACATGTTTAAAACGATGCTCAGTGCAGTCTGGCAAGAAGTCTGAGAAGGGGAAGGCCACTGCAAATCTAATTGGTGCTTTAGACACATGTTCTAGTGGATCAAGCACAGAGCTATTCCACATGGTTTGTGTTCCTGCAAAGTGCATCCCAAACCACACGTGCTAATGAAGCAAGCTAGCCAAAAAATGCTGAAATTCAGACATAAAAAAGTAAAATCTACTTACTGGGTTGTAAGCTTGAATTATAAAACAGGGGAGGTTGTTTAGAAAAATCCTACTGCATTTGAAGAATTTAAAAACAAACAAAAATGGTAGTTTTGACAAGAGTAAGGGGCCCAAATGTAAATGTTCACTTTTAATATAAACAAGAAGAAATTTTTATTGGCTCTTTGAAACCAAGAGTGACCATTTTCTACTATCACACTACCTATCCTAAATACGTACAGAGGGCAAAACAAATATATTCTCCCTTTCCAAAAGGTGCTAGGTGAAGATATACTACACACTCATTATCTTCTAGCCCACGGGGTCTCTTCAAGTCTAACTCTTCTATCAAATTCAAGCATGTCAAACACTCAGTTCAAGACAGAAAATGGTGTTTACTTTTCAAGAAAGCAAACTTGAGAATTTAAGCAAATAGTCTCACTCTGGCTTCAAGAGGCAGCAGAGATCTTCTACAATCAAGATGAATGCAACTCTTTCAACTTAACCTTGAGCTTTTTTTTTTTTTTTTTGAGATGCCCAAAAAGAGGGTCATGAATTTACTTCCAGGAAAAGGCTTTTGTTTTGTTTTTGAGCAAAACAGAGTTAAGTTTCAAAAGTGAAAGGAGGAATAGCTACTTGAAAATTCTCAATTTTTGTAACTCAACCACGGAGAAAACCCCGTATAAGAACACAGAACTAGGGCGCCTGGGTGGCTCAGATGGTTAGGCATCTGCCTTCGGCTCAGGTCATGATCCAGGGTCCTGGGATCGAGCCCCACATCGGGCTCCTGGCTCAGCTGGGAGTCTGCTTCTTCCTCTCCCTCTGCCTCTCCCACTGCTCATGTGCTCTCTCTCTCCCTCTGTATCTCTGTCTCAAACGAATAAATAAAATCTTAAAAAAAAAAAAAAAAAAAAAAAGAACACAGAACTAGGGGCAGACGCCTGGGTTTTAAACCTTAGTGAAGTGCAAGTATTCATACAGCTCTTACACTGGGCAATCAATAGTTTACAAATCTGAAGAAAAACCAGGAGCACATTTTGAATTGGAGCCCCAATAAGAAAATAAATGTATATTTAGCTTTAATCACTTGAGATTTTACTGAAACACAGAGAGGTAGTACCTATTTGTATTTTAGTTTATCACCAATTAGGATAGGGTATAGTGTCTGAATTAAAAGTTTATGCTTTCCTCCAACCATTCTATTGGCTAGAAGCTTAATACAACAGAAGGAAAATTTCTATGATTAACAGCAAAAAACACCATTAAGTCATCAACATGTCCATGAATGGGAGTAAAGTCTGAAGTGGCTGGGGAGCAGATTCGTAAGATGCCATTGGAAAAGTGCTGTCGTCACTCTATTTTTGACATGAAGCAGTAGGAAAGCCACCAGTATTTGGCTCAACAACAGAGAGTAAATAAAAGTTTGGTTTGCAGTTTGCAGGTATTCTTGTGATGCTGTTTTTCTCCCTGCAAGTAGGATTGCAAGACAGAGGACTGGAAGGAGATGTAGAATAAAACATTTTGTTGGCAACTATGTTCTTCCTGATATTTAATTTCCCTGACTCCAGTATAATCTCCCTCTAGGGAGGGGTAAATTCCCATTTTTACTTGAAATCATTTACAAAACCACAACACCCCAAAAGGTTACAAGAGGACCACCATTACATGAACATTATAAGAAAGCCAGTTATACACACATACATACATACATACATATATATCTATATCTATCTATATCTTGTATAAGCCAGTAAAGAGGGAAATTATTCTGATGAATCTGCATAGACTCTGAGCTAAATTTCCATATGGCAATCAAACTGGTATATACAGTTAACCATACAGCTGAAGGGAGTATGAGGTGCAGAATATTAAAGCTGAAGCCAATGTTTTCAAAGATATGCTATTCTATTCTGGAGCCCCAAAGTAAATATGAAGAAGGGTCACTGCTTTAAAAGAATAAAACATATCAGATCCAGTACTAGAAGGTCTGAGGAAGAAAACATGTTCTACAAGGTCCCATAATGACGTAAGTGAGGAACAACAGCCGAGGGCTTATCTGGTTGGGATAGTGTCCTCCTTAAGAGCTAAGAACGGGGTGCCTGGGTGGCTCAGTTGGTTAAGCAACTGCCTTCGGCTCAGGTCATGATCCTGGAGTCACAAGATCGAGTCCCATGTCGGGCTCCGTGCTCAGCAGGGAGTCTGCCTCTCTCTCTGACCCTCCCCCCTCTCATGCTCTCTATCTCATTCTCTCTCTCAAATAAATAAATAAATAAATAAATAAATAATCTTAAAAAAAAAAAAGAGCTAAGAATGTTGTCCTGAATTAAGTCATCAGTAGGGTAGTTTGAGGACAGATCTATGTGTTGTAAGATGTAGAATTATTAACTTTGAGGTAGAAAAACAGCAACTGTTCTTTGTGATTTTTATACTTTGGTATGCAGAAATCTCTGGCCTTTTGGAATTTTTTTTTTTAAAGATTTTATTTATTTATTTGGGAGAGGGAGACAGAGGTAGCGAGAGAGAGAATGAGCGAGGAGGAGAGGGAGAAGACGTGGGGATTGATCCCAGGACCCCGGGATCATGATCTGAGCTGACAGCAGCCGCTTAACCAAGTGAGTCACCCAGGCGCCTCCTTTTGGAATTTCTATCTCTGATTCTCAAAAATAAAATAAAATAAAAATTTCAAAACCACAATTTTCACTAGTGTTTTTTGTTGTTCACATTGAACCAAGATAATTGAAAATTTTCCCCAATTAACATCCACATGATGCTATACATTATCATTAATTATTTTTGTTTTTATACTCAACATCTATCTATAACAACATACACAATCCTGTCACAAATCTTTTTAATGCTAACTCCTATTACTTGAAGCATATGCCTCTGTGGTTCCATTGAACCAACTGTGTAACTCAGAAACATTTATAGACCTCCTGGGGAGACCATTCTGATAAGCTTCAGACATCAGCAGATTGCAAAAAGTATGAGCACAGCATTGATGACAGAAGCAGTTGTGTCCTCTGTTTGGGGACCAACAGAGCCTGATTTCCAATGTGTCTGAATCAACAGCATCCTACGATCAATGTAGGTGAATGTTTACAAAAAAGGAGGCTGGTTACACTCCCCGCTGCCTCGGCCTCTCTCTCAGCCAATACAGATGTGAATTCCAAGAAAAGTAAAGTAACTGAGTCAGTCATTCCTCCCTTAATGACTGGCCTGGTGAACAGATGTAATTTTCTCTTCTAAGCCATTAAATACCCACAAAATTCTTTCACAACCTACCTCTGATATGGTGGATTTGCAAACCTCTCTGGCCACAGATTCAAATTTGGGGTCTGTAGTTAGATTCAGCTTGTAATTCCACAACAACTACATACAAGAGAAAAATACAAACAAAAACTCCAGTTAGAATACGGAATTTTTCATCGATGGTTCCTGTAAGTGATAAAAGTCCATTATACAGAGTCAGATAAAACATATTCAGGTAATGAAAAGAAAAGTAAGATAAAAATGTCATTGTGTTTACAGATAAAAGGAAAAAAAATGAACAGACAAAATAAAACACTACCATTCAGGCATACTTTTTTCTTTTTACACTTAAGGAAAATTATTTTTTTAACTCAAGAAAAAAATTACAATTAAAATCCCTGGTAAGGTTTTCAGAGAAAACATTAATAAGGTTGTACAAGCTAAATTCTATTAAATCAAAAAGTTTAACCCAGTAGCTCAGATTTGGTGGGTTTAGTTGCAGATTTCACAATCCACAGTGCTTCCACAGTCAGTTTTATGAAGGAGAGATGCCGAGGGCCTAGTTTGCAGGCGTATCTATCTTCACTCCTTTAAAACCCTTCTTCTTTGCCTTGACACATACACCATAAGGTCTACTTTACACAATTGTTTTTAACATGTTTTAAACTCCAAACTATCTAAAGCCATTACTATTTACGGATGAGCGCTGAGTATTACCGTACCTTTTGCAGCTTTACTTAACAATTTTCAGTGTATGATTCAATTTCTGAAAAGTAGCACAAACGAGCCCTTATACTCAGCTCAGATGGAGAGACAGAGCAGGGACTTTGCATGATGCTGAACATGAAGAGACGGGGGGAGGGAGACGCAGTTCACAAGCCTTTCTGCTATACTCCAAGACAAACAATACAATCAATCACTCACTGATTCACTGAAACATCTGCTTAGCACTTACGATATACCACACACAGTCTGAACTCAAGGTCTTCATAGGCTATTAGAGGAAACAGAAAAACATGTTTGAAAATGTACTGTACTAGGAACTGGGGAATAAAACAAAAGGAGAAAGACAAAGACTATATTATCCAGTGGTGGCTCTGGTCAATGGCAAGTAGTGTGAGTATTTGGTTAATGGCAATACAAGGTACCCCTGGACTGTGCTGGGGGGTTTGGTCAAGTAAAATGTAACATAGAAAGTGCTATCTAAGATGAAACCTGAAAGATGAGCAGTTAGCCACAGTAAAGGGGTAGGGAGAGGACTATTTTAGGTAAATGAAACAGCATGTGTGGAAGCTCACTGAAAGGGAAACGGCATCTTAGAGGAACTGAAAGTCCAATGGAAGACTGACTCTGAAAACCCTTGTAAGCTATGTCTGAACTTCAACCTGAGAGTAATGGGGAGTCACTGAAGGGAAAATAAGGGAGTGACATGACCAGATCTGCTTTTTAGAAGTAGAACAGAGGCTTATATAATGTGTTTTAGGAACAACACAGAAATAAGCACTTAATTCTGTACAGGAGGAAGCTTTTGTGAATAAATAAAATTTTGTGAAGGACGAGTTGTATTTCTTCTCCTCCTCCCTTAAAAAAAAAAGCCAGCAAAAAGCTCTAATCCCTCAACTATGATTAATAAGTGAGTTTTTAGAAAAAAGGAGTAGAATCTGTCCACCATCTATAACAAAAGCTCTACAAGGACGGACTTCTGCCTTGTTCAGTACAGTGTATGCCCAGTGCCTACAAGAATGAGTGATGGAACACATAGGCACCAACAAATATTTGTTAAATAGATGAACAAAAAAACAAACTTATACCATGATGAGTGACAAGTTCAACCAACAGGACATATGAGGCCAAACTGAGAATGGGGGTATAGGAGAAGCTTAGTTCTAACTGAAGGAATCTTGGGTCTCTTGGTTCCTCACAAGCAAAGATGAATCCAGTGACTCAAAAGACAAGGTTAGAATTTAGACAAACACATTTTACAAATATCTATGAATTAAGTAGTACTACTTGTGGTCATTACATTTTATATTTTATTTTTTAAAAGATTTTATTTATTTATTTGAGAGAGAGAGAGCATGGGGGGGGGCAGGCAGAGGAAGAGGGAGAAGCAGACTCCCTGCTGAGTAGGGAGCCCAACACAGGGTGGGCTCAATCCCAGGATCTTGGGATCATGACCTGAGCCAAAGGCAGCCGTTTAACCAACTGAGACACCCAGGTGCCCCTAAATTTTATATTTTAAAATTAAAGCAACATTCTTCTTTTAAAAATAAGAACATTCTAGGTGCCTCATTAGCGCAGTAGGTAGCGCATCAGTCTCATAAAATTAAGAACATTCTGTGTGTACAAGATTAAAATATTTCCTCCTTACTGGGTGACTGTAGCTGACTCAGTGCCATTTCTTTCAAAGAAAGAAAGAGAGAGAAAGAGAGAAACAAGAAAGGACCAAAAAAATTGTCCTTAAGTGAAAAAAGAAAAAAGTATGCCTGAATGGTAGTGTTTTATTTTGTCTGGTAGCTCAAGGATTTAGAGTAAACAGCAACAAATGACAGAAAAATTACAAATCACAGAGTGCTTCCTTAATTTATCTAACACAAACTCAGATATCCTGTGATGGGCTAGAAATTGATTTTCTGTCAAAGCCATTTAGATAATCAATCACTTAGAGCTTCTGAAATGTCTTCAACTTTTAATTTGGAACATCTCCTTTTTCTTTTTCTTTTTTTTTTGAGATATAATTCATATCCTATAAAAGTCACCATTTTAAAGCGTCTAATTCAGTGGTTTTCAGTATATTCACACGATTGTACAAACCATCACCACTGTCTAATTTGAGGACATGCTCATCACCCCAAACAGAAACCCCATAGTCATTGTATCACTCCTCATCCTTCCTCCACCCAACCTTTGGCAACCATTAATCTACTTCCTGGTCTTTTATTTTTAATATGACCTAGTTATGCATTATTATTCTTTCAGGAATAGAATTAAAAAGGGAATTAAGCATAGGCTGCCACCAGTACCTTTTCCTCTAGAAAACATAAACACACATTACACCTGATTTTTGAGAGTTATGATTACTTGCATCATATTTGATACCTGTCCTCTCCTGAGTGGTTACAATCAACTAAGAAAAATACTGCAATTGGACACTAAGTGCTGTCAGTTAGCAAGATGTAGTCCAGCTTCAATTTTCTTAAACATAAGATGTTCACTTATGAATCCATCCACCTACCCATCTCCCTCTCCTAGACACATACTGAGTAACTACTATAACCTGGAATCAATCCTGCTAGATGACAAATTTAAGGGTGAAGAAAAAAAAAAGCCACTGTCTCAGCATTCAAGGAGCTCAACCACAGGAGGCAAAAGACGGAAAGAGTCAGACTGGGAAGCAAATAAGCAATGAAAATACAGTGTCATAAATGTGATACAGATGCATACATGTTATGGGAATACAAAGGAAGAACACAGCTTAGTGAATGTGGAGGAGGGATAGGTGGGGGTGGTAGTGGTCAAGTTAGACTGGGCTCAATTCCCAGGAATAAGAAGGATTTGTCAGGTGAACTGAGGGAGACTGGGGTTCTGGGAATACAAAGCTAAAAAGGACAAAAAGAGTAATTATAGCTTCTAGAGACACCCATAGCTCAGGATGGCTGGGTTGAGGTATGAAAGATGGGGCTGGGGGGTTGCAGGCAGGGATCAGATCACATCGAGTATCAGAGCTCACGGTTAAAGAATGTGTATTTTATCTTATAGCTAATGAACAATTTTAACCAGAGAACTCAAAAGGTCAACTTTGGTCATAGTGCAGAGAAGGGCTAGACTAAGGGAGGTTAGCAGACCAGTTAAAGGCACGGTGGGAGAAGATGGGATGTATCTGAAAAAATCAGGATAGTGACAAGTTTTGGGTGTGGAGGGTGAAGGAAAAATCTTCCTTCATAGTCAAGCTCCTTGAAAGTCCCTATAGCTCATTTTATCCACTTACTCTTCCATTCATCTTTAAAAAAAATTTTTTTTAAGATGTGTAAGACTGTTGAATCACAGACCTGTACCTCTGAAACAAATAATACATTATATGTTAAAAAAAAAAAAGAAGAAGAAGATAGCAGGAGGGGAAGAATGAAGGGGGGAAAATCAGAGGGGGAGACAAACCATAAGAGACTATGGACTCTGAAAAACAAACTGAGGGGGGTGGGGGGATGGGTTGGCCTGGTGGTGGGTATTAAGGAGGGCACGTTCTGCATGGAGCACTGGGTGTTATGCGCAAACAATGAATCATGGAACACTACATCAAAAACTAATGATGTAATGTATGGTGATTAACCTAACATAGTAATAAAAAAAAAAAATTTTATTTATTTGACAGAGAGAGACAGCGAGAGTGGAAACACAAGCAGGAAGAGTGGGAGAGGGAGAAGCAGGCTTCCCGCGGAGCAGGGAGCCCAATGTGGGGCTCGATAGCAGGACCCTGAGATCATGACCTGAGCCAAAGGCAGACGCTTAACTGACTGAGCCACCCAGGCGCCCCCCCATCTTAAAATTTTTAAATGAAAGCTGTTCAATCAAATAGTTCTATAAAGGTAGGTAAAAAATCAAAGCAGTTCCCTGACAAGTCGCTTTCTGAAGTCCTACTAGCTCCCCCAGAGACAAATACTTTAAATTCCTTTGGCTTTTTCTTAGGGTAATTAACTCTACACTTTTTTTTTAAGGATTTTATTTATTTGAGAGAAAGAGAGAGAGAGAGCACGCACATGAACGTGCGCGAGGAGAGAGGGAGATGCAGACTCCCTGCTGAGCAGGGAGCCTGATGCGGGACTCAATCCCAGGACCCTGGGATCATGACCTGAGCTGAAGGCAGACACTTAACCGACTGAGCCACCCAGGCGCCCCTCACTCTACACTTTCATTAAATTATTTGCTGTTTCCTGACTTGTTAGTTTTTAGATATTCTGTAATATTCTATAATAGCTTTATACTATAGAAGATAAGGAATGAACTTTTCTATGCTTCTTCCTGATCCCAATATAGTTAAATCAAAATGTTAGAGAGAATTTACATTATTGATGATGTAAGAGAGTATACATCCTCAGACATAAAGAATATTATTATTGTATTTG